AGGCTAAATTTAGTCTAGTAGTTAAGATCCCAGCATCCCACATTCTAGTACCTGGATTCATTCTCCTGGCTTCAGCTCCTGTCACTAGCTTACTGCCAAGGAAGGGACTGGGAGGCAGAACTGATTGTTCAAGTAGTTGGATTCATGTCTTTTACCTGGGAAACCGCACTGAGTTCCCAGCTCTCAGCTCTAGCCCAGCCTCAGGCACTGGGCTTTGTTTTTCTTTCTCTAACTTTCAAGTAAATACTTACAAAAAACTGGAAACAAAACCATGATTTTAAGAAACTGTGGAGTTGGCTAATATGATTTTATTAGTAATTGTGCCATATTCTATCTAGTCCTAGGATGACATAGAAAAGAAGCTACAGGAAATATTATTTTCTAAATTGAAAGACTGTTTCTGATGAAGAATAAAGTGGAGAAACAAGGCAAAATAATTGTGGATAAAATTGATCGAAAGTGAAAAATTAAATGCCTCAGAAACCACAGAATAAAATGGTCATCTTGGAACCAACAGACAATGCATATTATTACTCACTATAATAAATCTAATACTGGCCATTAGCTGGTTTGGTGGCTGGGACCATTTCTACTCAGGCTGTCTTATCAGGGTTTTAAAGCAAGACTTAATTATTTACTTATCCATGTACTTTAAAATATTTATTCACTTATTTGAAAGGCAGAGTTATAGAGAGAAAGAAAGGTCTTCTACCCGTTTCTTCAGTCCCCAAATGGCCACAAGAGCCAGGATTGAACCAAACTGAAGCCTAGATCCAGGAGCTTCTTTCAGGTCTCTCCTGTGGGTAGCAGGGACCCAAGGACTTGGGTAAGCTTCTGCTGCTTTCCCTGGTACAATAGCAGGTAGATGGATCAACAGTAGAGCAGCTGGGACACAAATCAGGGGCCACATGGAATGCTACTGTTACAACATGGGCTTAACATGCTACACCACATTGCCAGATTTTGGGGTAGGGGATGGCAGAGTGACAGAGAGAGAAGGAAAAAGAGAGAGACAGACATATCTACCATCCACCGGATCACTCTGCAAATGTCCGCTACACCCAGAATTGGGCCAGGTCAGCCAGTATCGTGGAACTCCATGCAGGTCTCCGGTGTTAATGGCATGGACTCAAGGGCTTCAGCCATCATCTGTTGCTTAGCAGATTCATTAGCAGGAAACTGGATAGGAATCCGAGTAGCTGTGACTACACACACAGCAGTGATGCTCCCATATGGCATGTGTGTAGGCCACAGGCCACATTGCACCTTTATGGGCTCTGCTGTGCCTCCACACCTGCCTCTGACAGGTGTATTTTTGTAAACCAACTATGTTCATGTGGATTCCATCTGGCAGCTTGAAGCTTTGCCTCTTGGGCACATGGAAAGACACAGAGCCTATAATCTGAGAGAAACATCTCATTACAAAACAAGTTACATTCCTTCTTTGCTGTCTCCACATATCCTCCCTTCTTGTCCCCTGAAAATTTTCAGACAGCCTGTTTTTGACATACTAGGGACATACTTGGTGGGAATTCATACCTTTAGACCTAACTCAATCACATAGGAATTGTTGGAAGGATTGAAGCCATGTTTAACTTTTCCTTCTCCTCCAATTTTGACACCATTCCTAAGGAAAATCAGGATAAGATAAGGAATTGAATGTCCATGGTGATCTCCCTTGGCAGTGCTGCTCATCAGACAAGCACGGAAGTTGCCACACCAGTAGCTAGCCTGCCACCACACAGCCCCTGGGAAGTGTGCAACCATATTATCAGATGCAAGATCACAGATGGTGGCGATGTGCTTAGAAAGGGAAACAGTCCAACTTTCACCGTTTATAGATGGTTATTTTATATACTATGGCAGTCAAAGTTTTTCTATTATAGATCTGTCAGAGGTGGATAGACAGGGAGGAGGAACAGGATTGGAAAAGGAAGGGCACCCAAGCGAGGCAAAATCAGACAGCCTACAAAAGCACAGGCAGCCAGAAAGAACATGTTTCTTGGGATTCAAAGTGTTAGTTACCTCTCCTGTGTCAATAAGCTAAAGAAGAAGCATCACTCACTCTGAAAACCAGAAGATAAGCAAACAGGCAGCTGCTCACACTAGGGACAGAAAAACAATGCTGTCAGTTTGACTATGCTACTGTCAGGCATGACGGAAAGTAACCATATCTGTATTTTATTTTACAAGAACAGGTAAAATGGCCAGGTTCAACCCCAGAGGAAAATAATATTGCCAATGATCTACTGTTGATCACGCTCTTGGCAACAGAATCAACAGATGTACTGGAAAAAAGAAGTGCTTTCTTTCCCATCACCCTGGATAGAGATCCAATACATGGTTAAAGACAACTATCTCCAGGAGGCAGCTGGAAACCTGCAGGGAGTCTTGTCTGGGCTTCCAAGAGAAGTTTGAGTCCTGATTAATAAAAGGCCTTAGTAAAGACATGTCCAAGTCGAAGAACAAAGGCAGGATAATGAATGAAGAAAAACTTTTACAGCAGAAACAAGGAAGGGTGGGGTGGTAGGGAAGCCAAGCAACAATCATGAAGCAGAATTAGTTGCTAAGGGGCAGAAGTCTCTTCTCCACCATCTTCCTATGGCTCTGCATAAAGTCTGGTTTTATGACGTCTCTAGAGAGGTCTGACTCACCAAGTCCTGGATGGAGGTCCAGTGGAACACACAGCATCATACTATCAGCATGGTAGAACTTCAAAGTCACATTCAATGTACAAGGAGAGTCTAGCCATGAGAAACCTTAGTATAGGTACATGGCATCATTATAAGGTTTTATAGAAGTTTAACAAAGGACAGAACCAGAAATAAAGAGAAATAATGATTTTGTAAAAAAAAAAAAAAAAAAATCCAATATGTGAAAGAGACAGGTGTTGGAATTCCTGTGGGTGACTTTTAGGAAAGTTTTCTATTTTTAAACTCTTCCAATTTTATAGTTTTTCTAGTCATAAAATGGGGATAATCATGCCCACTGTAACCTATGCATCACCTAGGACCCACCTCCTCTTGTTATTTTCCCAGGACTGCTTCCAAACTCCATGGAAAACCACAGTTTCTTAAGACATGAGAAGATTCTAAGGCCCTGTCTCTCTCGGCCGCTTGAGACCACTGGCTTCTTGTATTTTCAAGAGCTTTCTCTTCAGGGTCTGAAGTAATTCCGATGCCAAGTGTCACCTCTTCACCAGTCTCTGCAGAGTGAGCACTCCCACAGTCTCCCTGACTGAGCTGTCCGAGCAGCTGTAGTTCTGAGTTGGAAACACACTGTCAGTGGCTGTGTCCATGTGCAAATTCACTCACTTCCTTTCCCTCCCTCTTCTTTCTCACCTGCTCCTTTCCTGACCTTGTTTCCGTTTTTCTATGATACTGAGCAGCCTCTCCCTCCTCTGCAGCCTCAACAGTGACTGACCACCAATTCTGGGGACAGAGGCTCATTCTCTATCATAAGCATTTATCAAAGGTTTTTTTTTTTTTTAATAAATGCAAACCTCTCTTCCAGAAGACACTGGAATCAGCAGTGAAAGTTTTAGCGTTTCTTCTACTTCTTCTACTTGATAGGACTGCTATGTGAAACGATTGAAAAAAAGAACATAATAAAGCGCTAACACAATGCCTTGCACACAGCAGACATGAAATAGCGAGCAGCTGCCATACAATGGCAATGGACAGCTAGATTTAGTCTTTGAAAGATCACATTGCACCAACCCAAGAGACTAATCGCTTCTGAAAGGAGGTGCTTGGACTTCAGACAAGGTCTTAATCTTTCTCCAAAACACAATAATCCTGGGCCCTTGGAATGGTCTAGTGGCTAAATCCCCACCTTGCACACCAAGGATCTCATATGGGCATCAGTTCTGTTCGTGTCCTGGCTGCTCCATTTCCCATCTGGCTCCCTGCTTGTAGCCTGGGAAAGCAGTCAAGGATAGCCCAAAGCCTTAGGATCTTGTACCTATGAGGGAGACTCAGAAGAAGCTCCTGGCTTCGCATTGACTCATCTCTGGCCATTGCAGCCACTTGGGGAGCAAACCAGCATATGGAAGATATTTCTCTGTTTCTCCTTCTCTGTAAATCTGACTTTCCAATAAAAAAAATCCAAAACACAGTTATCCTGATAGATGAGTTTTGATCCATTACAGCAGTTATTGGGTAGAGAAGTGACTACTGAAGGAGCTGTGTGCATCAGAGGACAAGGAATTTATCACAAGCCAGGAACACCTGGTAATCTTGGAGCTCCAAGCAGCAGACCGAGTCCTGATGCTATCTCTCCTTTCTGCCTCCCTCTGATTATAAATTACAGAAGAAAGCATTCACAGCCTCAATGCTATCTTTTCTTTTTTGATTTCCTCCAGTTCTGAATAACAGATCAAAGCAGCCTGAGTCTCTGCACAGAAGGTCAACACCTGCCATGATGACATGTCACACACATGTGCAAACTGAGGAGCTGATACCTTCCCCCATCCACCACACCTGAGATGTATCAAAGCCCAGTGCTGTATACCCTGGGTGGCCATTTCCTTCACATGGTCACTTGGCCACATGGGAGTGGCCCCGGGATGTCTCCCACCAGGGAGCAGTCCGTGAGAGTCCCTCTCTCCCCTTTAGTTAAACTAAGAGACTTCCTCTCAATTGCTACATGTCCCTGAAGATAGGAAGAAACCACATAAAAATGTTTTACTCTTACATGATTTCAAAGAATTCCAATGAAGTAGAATTAAGAGCCCCAGGTTTTAAGCCAGTGTGTCCCTAACAGGAAGTACAAATGAGCTCTACCTGTGGGCAATCTGTGCGCGCTTGCTATGATGTGCTCACACAATGCTGCTGTCAGTGACTCTGTGACAAAGGACAGCCACAAAGATGTGCCAGAAAAGAAAAAGGCTACATAAAGCATCCCAATAAGAGGCCACAGTCACTAACCCAGGCTTGACATCAGTCAACCTATTTAAATACTTCGTCTTAAATGCCAAGCCAACAGAATGTATCACTCACCTTCCTCAAAGCTGGCATTCTTCTGTCTCAGTATAACACGGAAATTCTCAGCAGGAGTCACACTTCCCACCTAGAACAACAAACCTGCACGTCACTTCTCTTCTGCACAGCAGCCTAGGCTGCACAGGCTGGCTTAATGTAGCAAAGCTGTTCAAATAAACAAACAAATAAATAAAACCAAAGGCGAAGACAAGGTCTTTTCTATGCTCATTTTCATTTCTAGGGACCTGTTAAAAGCTGGAAGAAGTCATCAGTGGTCAACTGGCGGCCCTATGCTTTCACTTACCTCCCTTCATGCAAGCTAACTTCTTGCTAAAGATGTCAGGAGCCACCAGCTGGCCCCAACCAATTAGCTGGGGGAGGATTCTGCAGTGGAGGCTCAGCATCAAGTTGCCTCACTGAAGGGACACAAGAAACAGCAGCTTGATGTTTGGTTCACAGGGCAGCCCTTTCTGGTGGACTGCCCTTGACCTTTCGGCACTAAAACTTTGAGAGAATATACATACATGTCCAAGCTGAAAATGTTCTCACAGTAAACGCAGATCATGTATTAAACTTACTGCAATGCTCGCTGGCAGGGTGTCAAAGACAAAGATGCCTTCCACATACTTAGAAATAAATATACCACTTATCATATATAGATAATTCCCTAGGTAAGCTACTGATAATGATTACTTAAAAGGGGCCCAGCATAGCAGCTTAGTAGCTAAAGTCCTCGCCTTGCACATGCCGGGATCCCACATGGGCACCAGTTCTTGTCCCAGCTCTCCACTTCCCATCCAGCTCCCTGCTTGTGGCCTGGGAAAGCAGTCCAGGACGGCTCAAAGCCTTGGGACCCTGCACCCACATGAGAGACCCAGAAGAGGCTCCTGGCTCCTGGCGTTGGATCATCACAGCTCCAGCCACTGTGCCCGCTTGGGGAGTGAATCAACAGATGGAAGATCTTTCTCTCTGTCTCTTATCCTCTCTGAATATCTGACTTGCCAATAAAAATAAATAAATCTTTCAAAAATAATAATAATTACTTAACAGAAGAAAGGGAGAAGTACAGGATAAGCCTTTATAATTCTATATATACAGAAAGAGGATAAAAAAAGATGGTATGTCAATGGATTAACAAGAAATGCTGCAATCTCTCTGAAGTTGCCACCTTCGCGGAAAGGGGAGAGTACACCGAGAGAGCTGGCTTACACTGGTGACTCGGCCTTCGGCCAGGCTGGCGACACTGAAGCACACTTCCCCTTCTTCAGTCTTCAATTTTTTAGCAGCATGTCCTTCTTCATGACTAGAAAAGAAAGAAACTGTGTTATCTTTCCAACTTAAAATTAAAAAATCAAAATCAGAATTGCTAATACAAGAAGTACAAATCTGTTTTCTAAGACTCAAAACTAAGCAGCCAGACTTAGTCCTTTTCCAGGGAGGTCGCCTCGCTTTCCTGGCCCCAGAGCTCCTGGAAGCCTGGCTTTGTTTCACAGCAGCACAGAAATCATAACTAGCAGTCACATCACAAAGTCTTTGTGAAAGATGAAACTGCAAACACAGATAATGGAAACTTTAACACTGAAGTAAGAAATCCACCTATCCTTCAGGTACTATTGGCCAGTTCCTGACTCAGAACTGATAGGTATCAACTCACCGTGTATACAGGAGACTTGGTGTCTAACTGCCCATCTTTTCCATCTTGTATGTGAAAGCTTTATAAATGTCTATCTACAACCGTCAAAACTTATTAGACAACCCTTAATTAAATATGTAAGAAATTATTCTAAATCCCTAAACTGCAAAAAACACTTTCAAAAACTCCTAAGCAACTCCTTAGAAATCTAATTCTGTTTTACATATGTTCAGCAGCCATCTGAGAGTTAAAGATGATAAAGAAAGTGTATCTAACAGCCCACCTCAAGTAGCATACTGGTTTGAACGGGCTGACCTAAAGTCAAGAGGAGGTCAAGTGTATTACAAAGGAGATAAATATCAAACTCAGAGGTTTTGTGCATAATCACACCTAAGCTGTAGAACATAAAAATATGACTTTTTTTCCTCAAGACAAAGAATCAGTCTGGAGCAATAATGGCTACTTTTGAAAAATGGATGAAAAATTACTAACTGAGACCTGGTATTTTAAAACTAATTAGCTTAATAGACAAGTGAAAATTAGATAAATCTGTCATATGCAACATGATAAAATTTGAAATATGTATACATTATGGAATGACTAAGTTGACTAACGAATGTATGTATTAACTCACACACCTACCATTTTCTAAATGTATTTCATTGTTCAAAACTCTGATCTTCAAACAATGAGGTTTCAAATAGTTTTTCTTAAATATGAAACTAAGAAAATTAGGGTATAAGTTGCCTTCCTCAATGGTATTTCAGTAATGTCTTTTCTCTTACAGGAAGGTACATGGGAAGAGCCAGCCAGCCAGCAATACAGACGTGAACTCTTAACTTTCACCACTTGACATCTTTTCTGCCTACTACTATCCTTCTTCCCTGTGAGAAATAGAGAAGAGATAGATGCCAGATCAAAGGATGAGGACTAGAAGACATTAAGAGGGACAGGACATCCAGAGGCCTTTCCTCATAAAAAGAATACAAAATAAACACATAAAGCCTTATCTAGTTAGGTTGTTGGTGGCGCTGATCTTGTCGGAACTTGTTGGACGCTAGGTCTGGGTGCCACATGGACCTGTTTTGACCAGTACGATGCCACAGTCGGTATTATTTTCCTGCGGGACCTCAGTGAGTTCTTGGGAGCTCAGCACATGCGCAGTTCACTGTTGTCCCCTGCAGCCCCAAAGCTTTTGCCACAGTGCGCAAAATGGCGCCCGAAGTGCTACCACAACAGTTCTTGATCTGCTGGCTGACAGATCCGAGGGTTACCCAGAGCTGCCCTGGATGGAACCCGTAGAATGCCACGTCGTTGCAGTTCACCGAGTCAGAAATGAGCTTACTCCCTCTCAGAGCATGCTCAGTCCTTTCCCTTGCCCTTTCCTCCTTAGGCAAAATGGCGCCCAATTCAGCTCTAGGGGGCTGACTGGGCTATGAAATCCTCGCTGTTCTCGCACTGCCCGCCTGGGACCTACTGCTCTGTCTCTGCTCCTGGTCAAATCAAATGGACCAGCAGGACAGACAGTTCCCCGTCTGGGTTCACCTCTCAAGCTCCCAGTTAAAGTCCCTTCCCACGTGGTTGCTGGTGGAGTTCCGGCTGCTGGTGGAGTTTAGATCGCCGTGCTGGAATATCATTCACTGCAACACCTTACTGCTGTGCCCGCTGCTTTCCTGTGTCTGTCAGTCTCCAGGTACCCCTCTGCTGTTGTTCTGTCCTTTCGTATTTCCTGAAATATGTCCTCTCTGCTTCATTCTGGTTAAATGCTTCTCTGTCCGTTTAAACATGTCCTTACCCTATTCCACCATCTTGATTCTCCCCTAAGCTATACTTTAAGCCTTATATAAAAACTAATACACAATCAATACTTTCATGAGTTCCAAAAAAAACACACCCTAAACAATTAATAAAATCATGTGACAGGCAGTAATTGTTTTTCAGAGAATAGCAAAGCATTATATTGGGCAGCAACATGAGGTACAAACTAGGAAGAAGTAAAAGATGTAGCTGGAATATACATCAGTTGCAGGCATAAAGAGTGGGGGAGAAAATGACTATCTCTGGAGAGCTAGAGTGTAGACAGACATGTCTTTATTTCCACTGATTCTAGTTTTCTAATTCGTGCTTCAGGGTTGGATATTATGCTAAAGGTAATGGGAGACCATTAAAGCAGCGGTTTTTAATCAGGCACCCAAGGATGGAGCTAAGGAACCTGTGAACTATCTGAAATTACATTCACAACTTGGTAGATCAGGGCATTTTGGGAGGAAGAAGGTTCATAGCAAAAGAGAAAGAACCTAAGAATCATTTAGAAGGGAATAGCATGATCTCTCTCTCTCTCTCTCTCTCTCTCTATATATATATATATATAAAATCACAAGGCTAGCAGAACAGAGTAGAAAGGGCAAAGACTGGAATGAAAAAAATCAGTTAAGAGGTTATCTCTGTAAAGCAGGCTAAAATGAGACAGCCTACATAAAAGGAATGGCAGTGAGTGATGCTAATAACAGCTAACATCATGTGCTAGCCACAGTACTAAGCACATTTAAATTATCTCAGTTAAACTTGGCAATGACCTTATGAATTAGCTATTATCATTGTCCTTTTATAAATGAGCAAATGAAAGCTCCTGAGAGGCAGGTATTAGTTACTGCCACTTGACACACAGCAACTTGCCAATTTCATCTGCTTTTTGAAAAGAAGTACTTGGGTTTAGATTCAAATCTTTCTGACTTCAAAATCAATGCTATTAGCAAAATCTATACTAATCCAAAACAAAAGGAAGTAATTTAAGGTAAATTTAAAACAACTTGGTAAACCAATCAGATATGGAAAGTGGAAAAAAAAAAAAAAAAGAAAGAAAAAAGAAAGAGACATAGAGATGACTCCCAGAAAATTAGGTGTCATTTACTGAAATAGAGAATAGCATGAAGAAGGGTTTGAAAGAAGCAGGAAAGAAAAACCATACAGACATTTCAGGACCTATTGAACTTAAAGTATCTAAAGAGAATTAGTCTTCCAGTGAACTAGATGGAAATCTGGCCTGCAGGGAATTATTACATAGTTTCTAAAGTACTGCATGTGAAATACTAAAAATTCTTGGGATATATACTACAATGGCAGAATGGTGATATGGTTAAAACGAAAATGTATGTGTGCCCAATGCCAGGGGACCTGACTATTTGAAACAAATATTATAAAAGCTCTAAAGTGAAACATGGACTCCCAATATAATGACCAAAAAGTGATACAAAAAGCTCAGTGAAATGAAGCCTTTTTTGAAAAAATAAACAAAACTGACAAACCACTGACCCAAATGACAAAAAAGGGGGGAGCGTAAATATCAATAAACCAATAAACTCTGAGCTGAAAAGAGATGTCACAATGGATAACACAGAAATAAAAAACTAGCATCAATAATTACTACAAAAATCTATTTGCTTTCAAAATGGAAAATCTTAACATATAGATTTCTGAACACATATGAGATACTAACAGTGAGTCATGAAGACACAGAAAAGTTAAATAGACCAATAATTATGACAGAGATTGAATGACTAATAAAGACTCTCCCAACAATGAAATTCCAGGACCAATGACTTCACTGCTGAATTCTACAAAACATTTCAAGAACTCAAACTCTTCTCAAACTATTGAAAACAGGTCAAAGGAATGGAATGCCTCCAACCTGCTTCTATGTGGCCTACTTCACTTTAATTTAAAATCAGAAAAGATATAGCAAAGAAAGAGAACTACACACCAATTTCCATGAGGAAGAGACAGATATAAAAATTTTCAACAAATGTTAGCTAATCAAATCCAATCACACATCAAATATTATTCACTCAAAGTGGGATTTATCCCTGGTATATAGGGATGGTTTAACATGTAAATCCATAAATGTGATACACTGTGTTAGCAAGCTGAAGAATAAAAACTACATAATTATCTCAATAGATGCAGAGAAAGCATTTGATAAAATACAATATCCTTCCATATTTATTTTAAAAACTTATGTAAATTGGGAATAGAAGGAACATACCTCAACACAATCAATTCAACATAAGACATACACACACAGCCAGCATCACATTGAATGGGAAAAACTAGAAGCAATTCCACTAAGATCCAGACCCAGACAAAGATGCCCACTTCAACTTCTGCTACTCAGCACTCTTCTGGAAGTTTTAGGTAAATCCATTAGGTAAGAAAAGGAATTCAAAGGGATACACTTTGAAAGAAGGAAGTCAAGTTCTCCTGTTGACAGACAACATTACACTATACATAGAGGAACCAATGATTCCAGTAAGAGTCTATTATAACACACTGGAGAGTTTTGTAAAGTTGCAGAATTTAAAATCATCATACAAAAATCAATAGCCTTGCATATAAAGACAATGCCATGGTTGTACAAGAACTTATAAAATCAGTCCCATTCACAGCAGCTATAAAAATGCTTAAATACCTTGGAGTAAATTCAACCAAGGAGGTGAAAGGTCTCTACAATAAAATTTACATAGCATTAAAGAAAAATAAAAGGAGATCCTCTCTCCCTTTGGAAAAATCTTTCCATGTTTATAAATTGAAAAACTTCACTAATGCACCTACTATCCAAAGCAATTTACAGATTTAATAAGTTCCAAAGAAAATATCAAGGACATTATTCTCAGATCCAGAAAGAAAAAAAAAAGCTACAATTTATATGCAACACAAGACACCCTGAATAACTAAAGCAATTTTAAACAACAAAAGCCAAGTTGGAGACTGCACAATTCCAGATTTCAAGATATTACAGGAGAGGTATAATCAAAACAACCATATATTGGCACAGAATAAGCATACAGACCAATGGAACAGAATAGAAATCCCAGAAATTAATCCACAAAGTTATAAACAACCAATCTTTGACACATGAGCTAAAATCAATCCCTGGAGAAAGGAGAGTCTCTTCAACAAACGTTTTAGTATAATTGGATCTACACATGCCGAAGTATGAAACAAGAGCCTTAGCTTAAACTTTATATAAAAATCAGTTCAAAAAGAATCAAAGATCAAAATTCATGACCTGATAACTTTAAATTACCAGAGAAAAACATAGGAGGAATACATAAAGACACTGGCACAGGAAGCATTCCTTAGAAAAGGACCGGGAGAAAACGAAAAAGGAAAAAGGAAAGGCTCCAGAAGCACAGGAAATAAAAACAAAAATAGGAAAAAGGGATTAAATCAAGCTGAGAAGCTTCTGCTCTGCAAAGGTAACACCTGACAAAGTGAAGAGTCAGTGGAAGAAACTGAAGAAGACACCTGCAGACTACAAAAGCAATAAAGGATAAACCTCTAGGATCAATAAAGAGGTCAAGAAACAAAACAAACAATGCAGTTAAGAAATGGGCAAAGGAATTTTTCAGAGAATGAAACACAAATGGCCAATGGACAAATGAAAAAACATTCAGGATCACTGGCCATTGGGAAAATGCAAACAAAAAACACAATGAGATTTCATCCAACCCTAATCAGAATAGTTACCATCTAAACAAAAATCATTAAACGCTGGTAAAGAATGTGGGAGAAAAAATAGTGCAGTATACTGTTAATGGGAGCGTAAACTCACACAGCCATTATGGAAGACAGTACAGAGATTTTTCAGAAATGTGAAAGTAGACTTGCCAAATGACCTAGCCATATCATTCCTGGAGATTTATCTAAATGAAACGAAATCAGCATACCAAAGGAGGATTTGTATCTCCCTCCCCCCGCCCCGTCCTATGGTTCTTGTAGCTCAATTCAAAATAGCTAAGATGCGGAATCAACCTAGATGTCCATCAACTGATAATTGGGTGAAGAAAATATGGTATGTAAACATACAAATATAATTATGAAATACTACTCAAAAGAATCCTGTATGTTGTATCACAATAGACACTACTGGAAATCACAATGATTAGTGAAGTAAGCTAGTCTTAAAAAGGTAAATATCATATGTTTACTTTGACATATGGCAGGTAATATAGAATATAAAAGTGTTTAGGAATGAAATGAACATCTTGTGATTTCATAATTTTAATCCTACTTTATATTCTTGTGGAACTGTGGTCTTTCTACTTTTTTTTTAATCAACCTTTTTACTTGTGAATCTCCTGGATAATGGTACAGTAAGTCTGTGATTAAGAGAGTAGACTGAAATAAGAGAGTACATTAAAAGTATGTATTTGCAAAAATTAAAGAAAAAAGGAAAGGAAGAATATAGGGGAACTGAGAGGGAATAAAATGTGGTTATCATTTTAGAATGTACCTGTCAAAAAAAAAAAAAAAAGGAAGGAAAAAGAAGAATGTAAGCTCTGGGGTGAGACTGCCTGAGCCTTTGCACCTGCCGGCAGCGCTTAGCAACAGAGACCCAGCTTCTCTGAGCCTTCTTTCATTTCTCCTCAGATGTAAGCTGAGGTCAACAAATTAACTTACTTCACAGTTCATAGGGTTGTCATGTAAACCCAATCCGAATGTGTGTAAAGAACTGAGTGCCACCCTTAGGCTCCTTCTCGACCAAATCTTCACCACTGCTGTTGCTGGTGTGCCAGGAGCACTACTATGAATTTCTGAGTCAATTACAAACACTGCATTCTTAGTACCTTATATTTGCTAGGTGTTGTCCTTGGTTCCAGAGATAAAACAATGAACAGCATGTTATAACTTAAGTAACTCACATGACAACTCTAGGACACAGATATTCCTGCCCTGCCTCTTTTACTCATGAGGACACTGAGGCTGAGAAACCCACACCTCGGGTCATACCGCTCCATCTGGAGTCTGGAGTCTCAACTACTAACCAGGTAAGGTTTTGTGCTCCAGAGTTGGTTGGGAGGAACTCTGGGGGGTTGTGGGGGGGGGGGCATTGAAAACTTTAGACTGTACATAAGGGCAACAAGAAATCTAGATCCCATACACATCAGTTTCACAAGTAGGATTAGACCTTAGACATCTTAATTTGCACACAGGGTCCCTATTCAAGACATGATTTTCTCATTTCTAAGGAATACAACCACAGTAAGAGAATAGTGCTTTTAATGACAAAGGTAATATTTTGGAACTACAATGTCAAATTTTGGAACCACTATGTTATATAATGCTCTTATCCTCTTGAAATTAAGAAATCGCTTCCACACTGGGTATCCACCAGGCCCAAGATGAATAGTAAATCTCAAATTTTCAATGCATTTTTTCTTCACCAATAATATTATTACTTCCTTAGGTTGAGTATGGCTTTAATAATCGTAATTTCAGGCTAAAATGTCTCGACATGAAGCTGTTATATTGCTCAACTAAAACCGAATCAAGAAAGATAAAGCTGGAATGAAAACTGGATTCCCAGTTAGGGACTTGTCTTAGACTAGGAAACTTCCTGAATAGCTATGTTCCCACTCCCTTCTCTTAGTTCCTCATCCATCCCTGAAAATATGTACCCTGGGTACAGAAATGATGAATCTATAGAAAACATAGTTAAGTATAAGCAATTCTCATTTTCTTAAAGAAATTACGTCTAAGGCTGATTGCAGCCTTAACATTAAAGCTGTGAGTTTTAAGTCTTATATAGGACTGAGTCACTTTCCTTAAGTACAAGAGGTACTCAATAAATACTTGCTAAATGCATCATTTCGGTAGCTCTTAAAAACTAAGATTTCCAAAACACAAAGGTAGAGAACAGTCATATGAGTAGGAGGGTATGGGAAAATTCCCAGGCCCCAGGCACACAGAGTTGGCTGCGTCACAAACGATTACGGGAGCAAAGCCCAGAAAGACTAGCAAGCAAAGCTTGCACAAGAGTGAGTAATAGGGCTAGGACCCAAGGTGTCATCACACAGGGATCAAATCACAGAGCAACAGTCTTCTGCATCTCTGTGGTTTTTCGTTTTTGTTTCTGACCAGCCAATTTACGTTTTAATCAGAGGGAAAAGAAAATGGTTCATTTGTTTCCTACAACACCACAAGGTAATCAAGAGCTTTCATACAAGAGCTTTTATACAGGAGCTTTTATACACAGACTAGCCCTGTGACTGAAGCAAGACTAGAGCAAGGTGTCATAGCAGAAATGGGACTGCAGCCTTTTACTGACCTGTTCTGAAATACGATCCAGGGGCATATGGGTAGAAGACAGCAGAGGGAAGTGGATTTTTAGGGAAGGTCTTCTTACATAGAAGGCATGAAAGACTAAAAGGAACAAGCCTGTTTGCACAAGACAATCTTGCCAGTGCATGTTTTTCATTTTTAAAATCTGAACAGTGCTTGGGATTTTAACCTCTGAAAATCCACAGGAAACACAAAGCTTTCTATTCAATTCGGACAATAAATCACTAAGTCAACAATTTACAGAAACCAGTAAAGGAAATTGTTCAATACTACTCCCTGGGGTATTTGCAAATAATAAGCTTTATTTTGTCAATAGCAATGGAGAGGAAATCAAAGAAAAAAAAATCAAAAACATGTCTAAAGCCAAATCTCGAAATACAGCTTTAGACAAACAAGAAAGATTATTCTAACTTGAGACCAATCATCAAAGAGAAGTTTGTCAGTAAAATCAATCCTATATAATTAATTCTGGATAACCAGGACCAGTTTCTTCTGGTTTATTCTGGTTTTGTTAGAAATGGAAATTATTGCAGAATTTGAACAGAATCCAATGAAGGAAAATACTTAACAATCATTTGCTAGCTTGATTTAAAAATTCTATGCAAAAAATTAGCAATCCTTAAACTACAAGTACTTCCCTAATGGCCTATGCACACTACTAAAATACTAACAGTATTACAAGGGAGAAGAACACATATGTATTTTATTCTAGGCTCTTGTCATACACAAAGACAGAAATTCCTAGTGTTGACACAAAGTAAATTTTATCAGAAGGCGAGAAAATGAATACCCTTACACATGAGCATTGGTTGGTTGCCCCTGAGTGGGCAAGAGGAGAAAAGAGCAAAAGGGAGACAGAGAGGAGACAGCACTTCCAGCCGTGGCCTTGGACCACAGGGCTCCCATGGTATCTTTCCTGTCTCAGGTGCCACATGAAACAGGCTTCCTGGGAAAAAGGGGCATTCTTATTAACAAATAGGAAAACAGAATTACAAAACTGGGCACTGCAGATCTACATTGGCTATCTGCCCAGCCCAAAAGGAAGGGTTAGATTTTTTCCTTTTCCTTTTTACTTTAGCTCCAAACACCTCAATGATATTTTGACAACTAACCTTTCCACCAGAAAACAAAGCAACAAAACAAAACAAAACCAAAAATCCCCAAACACTCTCATGCGCTTTGACCATTTCCTTTAAGCCCTAGATTAAGACATCCCTTTTACTTTTAAAGAGCAAAATTCAACCTCAATTGTCCAAAAACTTGGAAGTTAATAAAAAAGTAAAAGCTTGCAAAGGTAGCTTTAATTCCCAGATGAACAGCAAGGACAAAATACAAGTACAGAGGACAAATATGAGCAATGAGTATCTCAATGCAAACGTCAAATATCAAACTGTTTTTTCCTTCCTCCCTTCTAATTCAACAGCCCCTCCAAGACCACTACATGTATCACAAAATCCAACATTAAATGCAACTCTCCAAAGCACTTACTTATCTTTGAAAATGTCCTGAGCAGTGACTTGATCCTTTTGCTTGATGACTTCAGTGAGAGGGAAAAGGGCCTTTATTTTAGAGAGAGCAGTCTGAGATTTCGCAGTCACCTCAGCAGGGGGATCCAGCATATTCAAAATGTGCTGCTGAACTGGAGGTAGAGGCTCCTGTGGGTGTAAGGCTCTGTGCAGCAGACACTGTTGGGAAATGCACAAGGATGGAAAACAACAGCGAGACATTCACATATGGCTTCTTCACATCGTCTGACCCAGGATGGCCTATCTTTAGCTTGGAAGGGCTATGTGATTCAACGCCTTTAACATACAACTAAGGCGGCTGGCCCACAACCAGCTTTCTAAGTGGAACCCTGGTGATGTATGCAACCAACTGTAAGAGAGCCAGGTGGCAGTAGTATTTCTGCGGGCTCTTGGGAAGGAGCCTCCGCCTGTAAACACCAGTCATCGCTCTAATTTTGGAGGGAGGGAGTATCCATGATTCTCTAAAAGGAAATTCGAGGGCTCCTGGTAATCCGGGATTAAAATAACTTTTTATTATAATCCTTTTACCTCCTTTAGTCTCACGGTACTTTCTCCTTCGTTTAATCTTAGAAAATGAAGAGCGATGAATGAAACAGGTGGCTCAAGGGAAGCTGTATAATTTGTGAATCCCAGGACGAAAGACTGTGATAGAGATGAGAACACCAAGAAGCCCCAAAGCTGCCAAGTGTGGAGTGTGACTTCTCAAGTCTGTCTACCTCGCTCTGTAGCCTCGACTACCGCCGTTGCCCAGGCACCACCAGCTCTCTGCGCTGACTTCTCCCTATCCCTCCACCAGCACTTCTGCCTAGAACTCACTGCTTCTCCCTCACCTTCCAATGGTTCACCTGTAGCTACGGTCATCTGCAAACTCCTTACCACATCCTTGGTCCTGTGCCCCTTGGAATCTATCCCCCAACCTTCTTGTACATACCCCTTAATTCACAGGATTTGCTTTCAGTTCAGTAAAACATTTCAGTAGCTTGAAATGTCCAGAAATGAAAGCTGCAATCAAATACCCAATGTTGTAGACTATTTCTCACACACTGTTCTATCTGCGACATCCAACTGACATTTTTAAGAAAAAAAAAAAAAAACTAGAACAAACAATAGATATATAGCCTATCCAGTCTTCCTACTGCAAAAACCTGAGAGCTTTTCAGTACAAACTCCAGGGAATCTATTCAAACAGTGTCGTCACGCATAAATCTATATCTAAAAAAAAAAAACCTACAAAAGGCATTCTGAAGCATCTACCTCTCTCAAAAGTCACATTTTAGATAAATAAAGCTAAATGCTATTACTTATAAAAGTCATTCAAGCAGGAGCCCCCAAGCGATCTTTTTTTTTTTAAAGATTTTTTTTTAATTTTTTTTTTTATTGAAAAGGCAGAAATACAGAGAGGAGAGACAGAGAGGAAGATCTTCCGTCCGATGATTCACTCCCAAAGTGAGCGCAACAGCCGATGCTATGCCGGTCCTAAGCCAGGAGCCTCTTCTGGGTCTCCCATGCGGCTGCAGGGTCCCAAAGTTTTGGGCCGTCCTCAACTGCTTTCCCGGGCCACAGGCAGGGAGCTGGAAGGGAAGCGGGGGTGCTGGGATAGAACTGGCGCCCATATGGGATCCTGGGCGTGCAAGGCGAGGACCTTAACCACTGCGCCACTGCGCCAGGCCCCAAGCGATCTTTAAAAAGAAGATAAATGAGGGGCCATGTGTGGTCTGGCAGCTAAAGTCCTCACATTGAACATACAGGATCCCATTTGGGCGCCAGTTCTAATCCCGGCAGTTCCACTTCCCATCCAGCTCCCTGCTTATGGCCTGGGAAAGCAGTTGAGCACGGCCCAAAGCTTTGGGTCCCTGCACCTGTGTGGGAGACCTGGAAGAAGTTCCTTGCTCCTGGCTTTGGATCAGGTATAGCATCGGCCATTGCACTCACTTGGGGAGTGAATCATTGGACGAAGATCTTCCTCTCTGTCTCTCCTCCTCTCTGTATATCTGACTTTCCAATAAATAAATAAATAAATCTTAAAATAAAAATGAAGGTAAAAAAAAAATGAAGGTAAATGAGAAAGTGACATTTTGCTGTACATAGGAGGTCTGAAATAAAAATTCTTAATCTATTTGTTTTTCTTTTAAACCACAGTTACTCTTTACAAAAGATTATTGGGAAAAACTGGAAGCAATATGGCTAGTTCAGAAGTCACTAATATATTGATTTTAGCAGTACTGCATTAACTATTCAACAGGCAGCCTGCCATATACTTGACAAAAGATAAATACTTTAACATTTCTTTCTAAAATTAGAATTAACCTCCTGCCAACATAGATTATTGATAGCTCTGCTCTCCTAGTTCTTTCACCCTCAACTACAGCTATTTCACTCCAAAAGGAAAAAAAAAAAAAAAGGCAAGGCCTTAGACAACATGCTCCCACCATAACATAAGGAACGAGTGAGGGGTGAGGAGAGACTTGCTAAAGCCCAGGCTATTTGAGCCTTATACCTCCAGAATTATGAGCCAAACAAACCTCTTCTCTTTAAAAGTAGCCTGCCTTCGGTATGGCATTGTAATAATGTAAGGTTGGTGAATACTGGAGTTCCATAAAACTCCACACAGAAACAACCTGAGAAGCAGACTCTCGGTACCCTCTTGCAGTGAGATTCACCAGCAAACCTGACTGATTTTTTCCCACTCAGCCTGCCAAGGCTGTGCAGTGACGGATGCAGCTGACTGTTTCTCACACTCTTGCTTGCGTCCCACTGCTGCCAGTAGCAGCTTCTGTACCCTGCATCCTCCTTCCACCCTTCTGGATGGTCTGTATGGATCCTATTCTCCACCTGCTTCCTAACTCTGTTTAGGGCCGCAGGAGAACAAGAACTGTGGGGAAAGGAAAATAGCTCACTTTCTTCTTTTTATGCTATTTCTACAATAGATGCAGTACATATCTGCATGCAGGGACACAGAGGCAGGCTCATCTAGAACCCCTGCCTACATCAGGCACAAACCACAGATGCCCTTGGGCTGAACTGCAGACGACTTGGAGAACATCTGTCTGTAATTTTTTTTCAGTATTATCCAAAGATAACCCCTCCTGGAATCCTCTTGTTTAAGATGAAGATTATCTAACCTATCCCTCAAAGGCCTTGGGAGTGAGGCGAAAAGGAAGAAGATGCACCTTTATTCAAATCTTCCTCAAGATTAATAACAAAAGATGCTTCCCTAGCAGGTGCATTTCTGCTTGAACTGCCTCCTTGTCCTGGAGGGCTCTCAGATGGGTTTGCTGGGCTCAAATACATTCCTCAGCTGCTCCAGCACTTTCCCGACTTCTCAGGGATACCTGCAATTCAGCCCTCCCCAAAGTGATTCATCCTCTTCCTCAAAACGGCCTGTTCTTGACTCCAATCCCATGTCCTTTTTTTTTTCTTTGCTTAACCAAAATATTTCTACTCCCTCCCACTTTCACTGCACTGGGTCAGGTGTTCATCTGCTCCTTCTAGTCCAGTTCTACTCTCTCTACCTGCCTCATCTTCACAAACTGAAAGGAAGTCCTCCTGTAGTTCACTTCTCCCATCTTCGTGTGGCTCACTGTGTCATCACTGCCTTTCTTTTTCCTTGTCCAGCTAATGCTGGGCACCCAAAGTCATCAAACACTTCACTTTCTACAAGTTCTCTCCCATGCTCCTCTTTACTCATCACTGTGCAACGTTTGATTGGGAAGACTTTTCTTCCTAACAGCTTTCTCTTTTCTGCTTCCCAAGGCATAAGTGTCTCTTGGGTCTTTCTATTTCTGTACCCTTTGCTGGGGATGGAGGTAACACCACTGGGGGTTATTTTGTTTTGTTTTGTTTTTTAGCACTCTTATTTTTATGTCTATCCTTAACTGTTTATTCACACGTGGGGGCTCAGTGCTTTGTTCCATTTCCTTTTTAGTGTGTTCTCTCAGGCAATTTCATTTACTGTTCTTTCTATATAAACAAAAAGGGATCTGAAGTCTGAAATACATATATGCCTATCTTATCTCTTGGGCCCCATATCCCTACTTACAACTTTCACTGAGTATCTGAGCTGGAATATCCAAAAGATATCCCAAGTTTACTCTTGTGAAAATAAATGAATTAACCTTTTCCTCTACTCATTCTATACTTCTTATCATAATGAGTGATGACATTATACTTTCAGTCACTCAAATACCTGTTATTTTCAAATACTCTCTGCTTTTCGTCAACCACCCTCTAGTTCCTTACTCTTTGTCACTGCTTTGACTCATGCCTCAAGGTGGGCCACTCCTATTTCCCAACTGGTTTCTAGCTCATTTCCTATGCTACCACCAGAGCTATTTTTAAACTACTAAGCCATCCACCTGCAACCAATACCCTTTAACGATTACCCATCACCATAAAATCCACTGACTGTGGCAAAGTGCATCTTTTCCATAGAAAACCTATCCTACAGTCAAATGGAATTATCTGTGGGTCCCTAAATACATCATGCATCATGCTTTTCAACGGCATGCTCTCTTCCACTGAGAATTTTATCCAAATGTTTATTCCTCCATGAAGTCATCCTTAAGGCATCTGTTTGCAAGAATCTCTTTTTCCTTTAATTCTCAAGATATTTTTCTTTGTTACTCTGATGACTAATTTTACATCTGTCAACTCCTCTCATTTTTCTAGAGGGTCCCTGAAAGTAGGGAGGATGTGTACTTTACAGTATTCAATATTACTGCCCAATAAATATTTGTCTTAAAAAGTGAGAATTAAATTTACATTTGCCCTGGTGAAGACACATATTTATATTTGTCATACAGAGAAGCTATGTTCAAAGCTCTCCCCTACAAAAGAAAACAAAGTTGGTAAATAGTACAAATCAAAGGTGTCAGTGCCTGGAGCTTCGAAAGTTAACAATGGCTACATTTATAGCTTCATTTCATTCATTTTTCCAAAAAGCACTTACTAAAGATAAACAGAGCCCCTCAGAGACCAATCAGCCAAGCAGCAGGAGTTTCGCTTGTCTCAGCAAGCTCTTAATGTGCTCTGCCCTCCTTTCTGACTAACGACACAGGTCCTCAGGTCATCACTTCCATTGTCAAAAACACCAAAAACACTGTAACTTGTAATTAATTACACTAAAAATTCGGAAATATTTACTGAGACGGGCCTTACATGCTAAGCTTCGTATTTCTAATTTTAGGAGAAAAGTTTGTTTTCACTATACTTAAAGGAATTATAAGCATCGAAAGGATCAGGCAATTTCCTTGGCGTAGAGGTTCCTAGAACCACAACAGGACCCAAGAAGTGTTCATATTAGTAAAAGAGTTCTGTTGAGATAAGCCAAGGCGCACGTGACCCACAGCCAATGCCTGACAAGCCCAGTGTACCCCCCACCACCAGGGAGGGGGCCTCCTCAGAGGGGAAGAGCTCACCTGAGAAATAGGCTTGGGATAGTTTTCAGTTTTGTGAAGGTTAAACAGGGCTAGAACATTCTTTCCTTTCTTCCTTGGCCTACTCCTCCCTGACTTTGGTATGTATCAGTTCTCTTGTTAATCTCCCCAACTCATCCCAATCCAATCTTAAGTCTTTCTGCCTACTCAAATTCACAAAAACACTTTTTTACATTTTTTTCACATTTTGGTTATTCTTTTACAATGTCATAGTATAATCTCTTTAAGTGACTTCTATACAATCTTTAACTATGATGTTTTTGACACATATGCCACTAGAACACTTCTCCAATAGTGGTTCATATTAATACACAGTTCCTACAAGCTTTCCTACTGCTTTGACATATACAAACAAAAGAAAAGGGACTTGCCTGTGGTGCAGTATGTGAACCTGAGCCTGCAGTGACAGCATCCCATAAGGAACAATTTGAGTCTTGACGCTCAGATGCTCCACTTCTAACACAATGCCATGCTAACGTGCCCAGGAAACAGCAGATAACGGCACATGTACTTGGGGCCCTGTCATCCACATGAGAAACCCAGATAGAGTTCTAACTCCTGGCTTTAGCCTGGCCCAACCTGAGCCATTGCTGCCAGTTAGGGAGTAAACCAGCAGATGGAGGATCTCTCTCTCCCTCTCTCTCTCAGTTTCACCTTCTCTCTGTAACTCTACCTCTCAATTAAATAAATAAATAGCCTTCCCCCCACCAAAAAAAAAAAAAGATAAATAAATAAAGGAAAGAAAAATCTCATTCACATAAAATATAGGTAGTAAGTCCAAAAAGGCAAAAATGACCTGTTTTCTATTTAGTCCTCCTGTAGTTAATTAACCTTCTTCAAAAAAATATTTTCTAAGAGCTCAGAATGATTTTAGTTCTTGAAGTAACAAGAGGAAAAAGTTATTTTTCCATTAAGTAGACAGAACTAATGAGGTTCTCAGAAAACAAAGATGCTTATTTGGAGTTGGCCAGTTACCAAAACTTGCCACTTTGTTGTCTTTCATTTAAAAGAAATAGGATGCTTTCATCCTCCCCCTCTCACCTGAAAATATCTCTGAAATTCAGGATTTGGGATTTTGGTGGTTGGAAACAAGTCTTCAATGGTGTCTTCCTCTTCATCTTTTCTTACTAAGCTCATGGAGTCAATCAAAGCATCAACAGCACTCAGCTGTGCCTCTTCAAGAAAAACAGAAAAGCAGGAAAAAAATTATTTTCTCCACTAAAACAAATACTTTCCACTTACAGATACAACAAAACAGGTAGGTTTTGTACTTTTGGTTCTGCCAAAAAAGGATTCTGTAGTTACAAAAGTACTTAACCTGAATCTCAGCCTTCTTAATTGTGAAAAGAGCTATTTAGTGTAATGGATATGTTAGCTACTTTCCAACTCTGCCATTTGCTGAATTTTTGATGATGGCACATCATCTCAAAAACAGAATTGCTTGTTCAAAAAAAAAATGCCCTACAGTTATATAAAACTCAACTTTTCTATGGAGATCTGCACAAAATATTCAATATTCAATGAGCTATGTTACTAATAAAAATATTACTAACTAGCTAAAAGAGAAAACCATTAAAAAGAAAAAAGAAAACCCCTCAAGTAGTAAAGCAGAGGTTTTCTAAAGATCCAAAAGAGCTTTTACCAGAGCGTAGCACCCTGACAGAAAGACACTGTGGAACCAGGATGAACTGATCCCTTTACAATTTCATCAGTTAGAATCAGCTATTTCCTCTCACAAAGTCCAGTGACATAAATTACACTGCACACACACTCCCTCGATGGGAGCAGAAGCATAACATTCTGTTTCGCATGCCTCTCCTAATATCTAGAAAAAGCAAGGGTTCCTCAATACAAATACAACAGGTCAACAAAGATGACAAGTTCAAAGCAAAGTGCTGCTTGTACACAGGAGCCTTCAGGCTCTTCCAATGCGGCACTGCCTACCACTGCATGAACATGTACTTGGGAAAATGCCAAAGGGTCTTAAGGATCCATTTTTTTATTTCCAATGCAGAAAACATAAACAGAAATATGCACATTAATTCACAGAAAATAAACAACAAGTCAAATGGTACTTAATGTTTTAGATTCCCAATGATTTATGTCTGTAAGAGAGTTTCCCAGCAGAGTTCTGCTTTTCAAATATACAAATTTAAAGTTTGGGATGATGGGCCCGGCGGCGTGGCCTAGCAGCTAAAGTCCTCGCCTTGAATGCGCCGGGATCCCATATGGACACTGGTTCTAATCCTGGCAGCTCCACTTCCCATACAGCTCCCTGCTGTGGCCTGGGAAAGCAGTCAAGGATGGCCCAATGCTTTGGGATCCTGTACCCGTGTGAGAGACCTGGAGGAAGTTCCTGGCTCCTGGCTTCAGATCGGCACAGTACCGGCCATTGTGGTCACTTAGGGAGAGAATCACTGGATGAAAATCTTCCTCTCTATTTCTCCTCCTCTCTGTATATCTGACTTTGAATAAATAAATAAATAAATCTTCGAAAAAATAAAAAATAAAGTTTGGGATGATCAAGAAGTAGAGAGACAATACTGTTATACCATGGCACCATTTACATGTTGGGCTTCAAGCCTTGCTAAACCATGATACAGAGGAACTCATTTCCAGCAGGAAGGTAAGGACACAAATCCTGAGGACCCTCCTGATTCCTGGGCCATCTGACAATCTGTTCTGTCCCATTATAGTCTGCTCCGTCTTCAAAGGGTAAATCAAAGTAATACGGGAGAATTCAGCTTGGGCATTCACCTCAGAGCTTCCTAATCCCATATGGACACAGATAATATATCTCAATGTGTTTAATCATTATCTGTCACTTCTTTTGGTATGTTCTTACGTTCTCCATATTTTGGTCCCTATTATATTTTCTTATAACACTCTTAAATGATGAGCTCTCTGGAAAACAGGACCCGTGTTTGTCAGAATCCCTAGGAATAGAACCGTGACATTTGCAACCAGATGCTTACTAAAGGTCTTTCTCACCAAGCTTGAACTTCTAAAAGCCAGAAACCAGTGGTAATTTTTGTTGTTCAGTTATTCTTACAAACTACAAAAAAAGAGAAAAACTGATCTCCAGTACTGTCAACTTTGGTTCGAAGTGACATCAGGTTTCATGCAGGAAACAATACTGAAGCCAGAGGTCTGACACCATACATCTCATTTCACTTCAGCTGCAGCAAGCCTCCTTTTCCTAAGTTGAGAATGAATGTCCATTACCAATAAGCTGCTCCTGGATACACGCTCCAAGTCAGAAGGAGGAGCTAGATAGTACTGGAGTTTTGGGCAAACCTATCTCTGCTACTGGAAAAGCATCTGACAAACCACTTTCATCATTATACCATGTGTAAGTCCTGAATCCAGCCTGTAACACACTGGCTCCAACAAGTGACTATGTATAGGTGATTTCCCAAGAACACTTGGTAGAGTTATTTGGTGAGCACAACGGAAACAAACTCACCTGTGGGTGTGTACTTGGTATTTTTCAAGGATGAAAACATGTATTGCCGTAAATCTTCCATGAAAGGCAGCTGCACATATACTAAACACTAATGAGAAAGGAGATAAAATCAGAAACAACAAAATCAGTGCAAAAATATCAAAGTGGTCCCAAGTTCTGTGAAAGTAAACCAACAAAAGTACTTCTAAAATCAGGCAACTCAAACACAGTACACTGAAAGGTAAGTGCTTTGATTTTTTTCTTTCCAATGTTGAACAAATGCAGATTGCATAAAGAAGGTTAAAAATAAAAGAAATGCTTTAAAATAAGACCACCAAAAGATCAGTGTAGAATGCATAGCCAATGCAAAATAAAAGGAGTTGTTGACTAGGGGGCTGACCTGAAAGATATTTGCCTTCCCTTTCCAGTTTTGCCAGTCAGTTTTCTGAGATACACGAAACATTAGGGAATTCAGGTTTGTATTTTATATAGGAGAGTCGTAAGTAGACAGATTTTCATGAACATCATGACAAAAGCACAAGCTCAACCTTTGTTCATAGCCCCCTTTACAAAACGTAGGTAATAGCTCTTTCCTCTTTGACTTAACAGCAGTCAAGAAGGATGAGAGCTGAGAGAAGGTCATGGTTAACCTTTTACCATTTGATCCAACCAAAGACTTCTGTCTATATTTTATAATTTATGTTCTTTCATTACAACTCAAAGAGTGATTCACAGATCCGCAGGGTCAACATTACTTTGAAATCTGCAAATCCGCAGAACCTGAGCCTTGTCCCGGACCTAATGACCTGGAATCTGCATTTTGTAAAGATCTCAAAGTCATTCCCCACTCCCAACAGAAAGAGTTGAGAAGCACTGCTTAAAATAAAAGAATTGAAGGGAGAAAAAAGACACACACAATGAAGACCTGTGGGTTACCTCATAGGCATCCTTGATGTAAGGGAATGCCACACCAACTTGAGGATTTGATCTTCTGTCATAAGCATACCGAACTATGGCCACCATGTCCAATTCATCCAGAGCATGGATTAGGGATGAGAGTGCAACCGCTGCAGCCTATTTTAGAAGGTGCGTGTTACCAACACATATCTGTCATCTGAGAATATTCACAACACAGCTTACTTACAATGGTGTCATTCACTTTCTTCATATTTCAAAATTTTTTAAAGATTTATTTATTGGGTCTGGCACGGCAGCCTAGAGGCTAAATTTTTGTTTTGCATCCACCAGGAGCCCATATGGGCTCTGGTTCGTATCCCAGCTGTTCCACTTCTCATCTAGTTCCCTGCTTGTGGCCTGGGAAAACAGTAGGGAATATCCCAAAGCCTTGAGAACCCGCATCAGTGCGGGAGACCCAGAGGAAGCTCCTGACTCCTGGCTTCGGATCAGAGTTCAGCTCTGGCTGTTGAGGCCACTTTGGGAGTTAATCAGTGGGTGGATCTTCCTCTGTATCTCCTTCTCTCTGTAAAATCTGCCTTTCCAATTAAATAAATAAATAAACTACAGAGAGGAGGAGAGAGAAAAAGAAATATCTTCCAGTTGCTACAGGACCAGAATGGCCAGAACTGAACGAAGCAGAGGCCAGGAGCCTGTACGTCCAACTGGGTTTCAGATGTAGGTGATAGGGTCCACATGTTATGGGTCATCTTTTGTCGCTCTCTCCCAGGTACATGAGCAGGGAACTGGATTGCAAATGGAGCAGCCAGGACTTCAAGCAACACTCATACAGATTCTGGTGTTCCAGACCAACGTACAACAAAACCAGCCTCCATTTCAAATGTTTTAAAAAGTGCTCCTTTACCTACTTCAAGACACCTTTGCTGTACACAACTACACAACTGCTTTTGATGTACATTTACTATGCTTCTTTGGGACTTATCAAGTCCGCAGCCTTCCACTTCACTCTTCCTTCTCCTTTGAATTTATATTCTTACCATAATAATAAATTCTCACCGTAGAAAAAGTTCTAGTCTCAGCTTTGCTAAACAAACACGAGTCTCAACATAGCCTTGTGATATGATATTCCGCACTGCATAGCCAGCAGTTTTCATAAACTGATCAAAAATGTTTTTGCATGTGTAAAGGGACATTAAGTGGTAATTTAAACTTCAATAAAAGAAAGAAACGCAAGTAAGTCAGCACTTGCAGTATAAGTAAAACTTGCATGATTCTCAACAGACTTGATTCAGAAGATACTCATGAACTAAGTTCTCAAACCTGAAGATTGACATGTTTACTGGGTTCCAGGGAATCTGTTCAGTAAAGATTAGAAGCCAAGTATTTTCTTCTGCTAATTTTAACTGTTTGATAGAATATGGATACACATCTACCACATCAGCCTTTGTTAAGTGAGAAGAAAAAAAAGAACTATACCTGTAACATCACGATCCACTCCCTAGCCAAAACAAACCAGCCATGTTCAATTTACCAAAAATTTACCAATTTCAAACACAAACACTTCAGGAGCTTGGAATACTCTCTTAAGAATACACTAGATTGCATTCTTTCCACTAAGATCAACATCTCCAAGCAGATAAGCTCTGACAATTAGAAATTATTCACAAAGAAGGTAGGTGGGAGTTTTGGACACAATAGCCATGGGTTGTTAGCCAGGCAGAAACCAGCCTGCAAACAGAGTTCCCAGGGAGAAGGAAAAAGGATGCAAACAGAGAAGGAAGGGTCACATTTCCTCAGTGGTGGAAGTCACAGGGTGAAGTCATCGAGATGAAGCTGCAGCTCTACCACACCAAATATTCAAAGTTTATGAAATCAAAATGCTCGTGGCATCCTTAACTGACCCACGAAATTCCCACACCCAAATGCAGCTGCTCAAACACTTATGTTTTTGATGATTTATCTGGTTGGTCTACAACTACAGGACTATGTCTTTACGTCTCTGGCACATACTAACGAAAATTCATTTGCCATTTCTCCATTTTTAGTTAAAGGTCAATGAATTTTCCCACTGCTGTTGCAAGAATACATGTCATCTTAAACAAAAAATTTCCCCAAGCAACTCACTTTTGTAAGAGGACAATTCAATTCTGTGGCATTGCCTCTAAGAGCCACCACCCACTAACCTCATCATCTTTTGCTGCAAAGACCTTAAGAACTTGGTTTCCCATGAAGAATTTTCTCTGGACCTACAAGAGTAACAGAGGAAAAGAACGGGGTTTAATCCAAAATAAGAAACACACATAAACATAATATTATACATATCCTAAGAAAAATTCTATCGAAAATGCTCTTATTTAAAAATTGGCAGGTACCAGGAACAAACTTATTATCTGAGGTTCAAGTTAATTCAACACAACAAATATCTGACTACCTAGTATGTGTGCAAGATTGCTCTGGGTACTATAAACATAACCGTGAACAGGCTGTACCTTGTCCTTGAGGGACCTAAGACAGATAAACATGAAATTGCCTACAGTACAGTATTACAGTTCAGGATGACTCAGAGCTCCAACAGTGCAAGAGCGCACTGAGGTCGGTCAGCAGGGATCAGGGAAGGTTTCTGCCCATGTGACAACCAAATCAAGGCATGATGAACGAGTAGGAACCAACCAATAGAAAAGTTGCCACAGGTCCCCAGATATTATATAAAAAAATCATTTAGCATAACATAAAAGCATACTACATTTTAGTACACTTAGGGAACTGCATTTGGGGTAATGCAATATCACAGCATGAGAGGAAAGGTGAAAAATTAGACTGCTGATAAAGATCAGGTGATGAAATCTCTCAGGAAAACCACATTAAGCAGTTTGGAGCTCTTCCTAAGAGCAGGGAGGAGGCAGCGATAAAGGACAAAGAGATCAAAGTGAAGAATTAATAAGAGAGGGACAGGATTGGAGAAAGGAAATCCAGCTAAACCAAATATAAGCACTGTGTTTCCTTCTCTCCCTTCTTAAGGTCTATTACTTAAGCTAACGAGTATTCAAAAGGTTAAAATACCAATAACTGATTAAAAAATGAAAACCGAAGAGTTCCTAATTCAAAACCACCCATACCTACCTAGCAAGACCAAGCTCTGTCTAATCTATGTTAACTGGAGACCAGAGATTATTTATAGGAACACGCCATGTGTTGAATCACGTAATGTTTCTCGCACTTCTTTTTGTCCTCCCACCAATAAGGCAGAGAGATTATGAGCACTTCTCACAGTGGCAGCAGCTCAGGAGGACTGAATTTCAGAGGTGTAGGGGTAAGGCCCACATAATTCAAACACTCCTCATCTCCACTTTTATTTCCCATTTAGAAGCCATTACTAGGGGTTAGTGCTATGGTGCAGTGGGTTAAGCCATCCGATAGGGGCAAGAGTTCAAGTCCTGGATGTTCCACATCCCTTGCAGCTTCCTGCTAATGTATCCGGGAAAGCAGCAGAAGACAATCCAAGTGACTAGACCCTGTTATACCTGTGGGAGACCCAGATAGGTTCTTAGCTCCTGCTTTTTGGGGGGCCCAGCCATTATAGTTGCAGTCATTGGGAGTGACCCACCCAGATAAAAAGATCTCTTTCTCTTACTGCTTACTGTCTCTCCCTCTTGCCATATCTCTGCCATTCAAATACAAAATAGCACCCTCCCAGCACCCCAAAGCCACTATTCTAGGAAACAAGGGAATAATCCTATGTAGAGTCTGCCATACTCATACTGATTTTCTTAGGATCTAATAAGCTGCAAATAGTTACTGACTGAACAAAGAAGAGTCCATCATATATTTTCCAAAGGCACTTAAATGACCTTTCCAACACAGCCAGGTGTTTGGGGGCAGTCTTTTCCATCTTGTAGTTAAATGCCAGATAATGAGATATTTGACAACTTGGAAGAAGACAAATTGAAAGACCTCTTAGCCCTCCTCCCAAATCTACTTTATAAAATGAAAAGCTACATATTAATTGAATCTAGAGCCATCAGTTTGTCAATATGCCAGGTTTACAGAATTTGGAATGCTGACATATAATACTGTACACTTGAGGTTAACCATTAGTCTAATAAGAGATACATTTACATAAATTTTTCTAGTCACCATGGATAACACCTTGCTCTTAACATTTTGTGTGCTTTGCTAACACAATATTTACTTAGTCATTTAAATAGATCCTCACTTTCACCCTATCAGAGGTGATGTCAAGTTTTGGGGCCCTGAATTATACCTGACATTGTTTTGAATAGGTCTTATCTGCATATATGTAATCTGGCAGACCCATTTCTCAAGAGGCTAGTTTCCACAAACTGGTTGGAATGAGCTTTCTGTTCCACTGGAAAAACTCAGCCATTATTAATCATCACTTTTAAATGTATAAACCTCCCAAAATGAATGATGTTATTCTTAAGAAAATTTAGTGTTAATTTGTTAGAGAATTGTTAAAAACTCTCAGCTTCCCAGAGATATTTATTTCCAGCATTATGATTTTATTGTTCATTTCTTCAGTGACACATTTAGTCATTCAGTAGCATGTTATTTAACTTCATGATGTTTTTAATTTCTTTTTTCCTTCCTGTTATTGACTTTGTTTTGTGGATTTTCATTTAAGGGGATATATAATAACTTTAATGGAGACTAGCATATCCAGATATGAAGATACAATGCAGTATGCAACTCTACTTCCAGACTAAAGATGGACTTACAATGAAACTGTTTACCTTAACAATAGGATCCTGGACTCTCTGCCATTGTCCATGCCCACAATGATGGACAGATGACTGTTTATGAAGAACTATACTATAGTAATAATATACGGGAACTCAATGGGCGAGAGGGGACTTGTGGAGAGGCTAAGGGAAATCCCAGGGCCTATGGAACTGTATCACAAAATGCTAATAACAATAAAAGAAGTAAAATTTTAAAAAAAGATTTTATAGATTTCAAGTAATTACTGTTTTCAGCTTATGAGTCTTGAACATGTGTAACAGCTTGAGTGTATAATACAGGAATTCTGTCCAATCTCATTGCACTGTTGAGATACTGACACAGGCAGGGACGACACGCCACAGAAATCGAGTCCAAGTCCAGGCACAGGGTAACATACTCATTTTAATTCTTAGTTGAGCTTTTCTAGAAACATTAATCACCCCTTCTATTACAGCTTGGCTAAAATGTACACGAAAAGATATACTTCACTCTTACGATTCATCTCTTTGGCTATTTATCTCAAGAACATTTAATCTAAGATTCTGGGGTCTTTCAACGGCCCTTTGTAGGGCAGATTTCATGGTATATTCTCACAGTTCTCACTGTGTCTATTTTGTATCTCTATTGTATCTCCACACTGGTTTCTAAAAACCATGTAACTTATGGACAAATTTTATATTCTAGAACTCCACACCAAGAAACTTAAGAAAATTGACAGCATAAAGCAGTGAAATTATGGCTTAATGATCACTCAAAACCCAGTCTTATTTTCAAACCTGTAAGACACTTCACTATATATTTTTGCAAAACAACAGCAAAGAACTAGACACCATATCCTTATTGCTATTATGAGCTTTGATGGTCAACACAATTAGTGACTTCCTTCGATTCAGAGTCATACTACATTTTCTAACATTTTGGCATTTTTCTTAAAAAATCAAAGATGATACCACACACTCCCAGACTGTATTCAAAAAACAAACAAAAAATCAAAACTGTATTGTACCAAAGGAAAAAAAAAAAAGAAAACTACATATTGTAAACAAAAATGACCAAGTAAACCACATCATCTCAAGCAACAGCTAGGAGAAAGCTTACGTATTTTGTTCCCAATCGCAGAGTAATTGCTGTACCTGAGAAGATCTACAAAATCCTAGGACAGAGAAGCACTTCCCCTCCGATTTATATTTCATTTGTTCCTCATCCACTTTAGAAAAAGGGATTATATCACTTCCATAGCGGAACCCTAGAGAACAAGAGAAGAGCATCTGTTAAGCATATGAGGCCTGGTACTCCACAAGCAGAAATGAGCTCTATGCGGACATTAACAATACATGCACACCCCTGAGCAAGCCTCCATCTTCTATTCCCTAGAATCAAATTGCTGCCCCTTGTGATCAACGGGGGAAGAGATGCAGCAGACACAGCCATGTATACAATACAGAGACAATTAAAATCTAATTACATTTTTTAAGTAGCAGCTTCTGCAATCTTGTTACCTTAATGACTACCCAGCTTAGAAGAAAGAATATATCCAGAGCAATGTACCAGTTATCCTGGGAAGATAAACCATGACTGACTAAAGCACAAGCATGATTTGCAAACATAATAACACATTTTTTCAGAAACTTGGAGATCCTCAGAGAGAAACTCTAGTAGGAAATTTTCAGAACAAAACGTTCTCAAAAACACACGGTAGAGATATATAAATCCCTACTAGAAAAAACAATCAGAAGTTTTGTTTAGATACATTCAATTGATAAGCTGCATTTTTTTTTCTGCTTTTAAATTTACTTCACTTCCGGCATTTGCGTATATATATTTTTCTTTTAATTACAAAGCATATTTGTATACACCAAGGCTCTGAGCTGCTAAGAAAGCAAAGGAACAAACTCTAAAACCCTGTTTCTTGCTTCTGCTCTATGGAAATACCTGCCCTGTCAGTAACTGGGTGTCTTCTGTGTTTGGGTGAAGGAGCAGCCAGACCTAAGGATTCACCCCTTGGGGACATGAGGGAAGAACACATGTATCTTTAAAAAACAAAGAAGTCAATGAAAAAACTTGGGTTACTGGAGGCAGATTCTGAGAGCCAATGTTTGCTCCTGTTGGCCTGCTGAAGCCTGCATTTATATTTAATTAAAAAGAAACACATTTCTGTTTTGACACACATGTCTCTAAAAAGCCAGAAATGAAAATAAAATTTCCAAAAAAAAAAAAAAATCAGCAGAGAGACATGTTTCACAATGATTATCCAAAGCAAACGCTTTTTCTAACTTTTCTTTGCCAGCTATCTTCTTGCTTAAAAGTATCAGAAATTCTAATTAAAATTATATTGTGTTTTCTAATTAATCCAAGGAACTGCAAATAACTCTTAACTTTTGTACAAGACAAAGAGAACAAATTATAACATGTAACTATATCTACTGCCCATATATGGTTACTAAGAATCCAACACAACAGAGAGTGGAGAGAAAAGGACATGCAAAGGCAACTAAAGCAAAAGGAGCAAAGTCATACTCTGATATTCTTTTCCTCCAGACGCTTTTAATTCTCTTTCCATTGCTCCACTAATACATTTCCTTCTTGCTTACAATAACTTGAGTTGGTTTCTTTATTAACAATCAGAAGAGTTAACCCCTCATCTCTAATCCCTTCTCCTAATCCATCCTACTCCAGGTATCATAAAAATCTTCCTAAAACACAACCCAAAAGATACCTCAACACTATAAGCAATTTCAGGTTGTATAAACTCTTAGCCTGTTATTCAAAACCCTTTACCAGTCCAGTCAGTGCCAACTCTGAATAGCATGAGGGATTACACTCTGAAGTGGCACAAGTCTAGAGTAACATTCTGCTAGTTGTTAGCCGTGTGACCTCAAAGTGCTGCAGCCTTGGTTTTCTCACCTGTTAACACTGAAATACACACGTTGCTTGCTTCATTCAGTGGATGATTAAAAGAGAAAACACAGGCTGCCTACTAAAGAGTACCAAATTGTACAGCCCTAGTATCAATCCAATTGAGCTATTCAGTAAGATTCAGAAAGCACTCTGCTTGTTTGGCTTATGGCACTTCTAATCATGTTGGTCTTAGCACACTAAAGGCAGTACTTAGCATACTAGGAACAAATGACTGGTCAGTGTTGGAGTCATGACTCTAACTCAGGCTTGACTTCAAAATTCATGCTTTATGTGACTGAACTGAAACAATTAGTAGAGTGTGCAGGATATTAACAACATTTGACACATAATTCGTCTTGAGAAAGAACAGTATAAAAACTATTATCACCTCCAAAGTGCCCTCCCCACAATTTACACCTCTTTTTTTAAGGCTTTCTAATCAAAACTGCACTGGGCAATGGATAGCCAGCAATCAATCCATCTAACAACTTTGGTTTCTCTCTAAAATCATTACTTGATATCTTATAATTTTATTTGCTGAATATTTACACAATCTCAGCTACATTCTAAGTGCTCTGGATCTAGCCATCTAGACACACTATTTAAATGGGTATCATATATGAATACAAACTATAGATCCTAATGAAAATAAAGCAGTGCACTCAACAATGTTTCTTATCCCTTAAGGGGGCACGTCTGATAGGACATAAAACCTGAAACTGACACATAGAAGAATAATATGGAAGTCAAAAGTAAAAAAACGTACTGCTTCAGTCACATTAACAAAAACATTCTCCTGGAATGCAAGTTTCAAACCTCCAAGCTAAGTGTTGAGTCCTGTCACTGGAGGCACATAAAACTCAAGAGGCACGCTACCCGAGTGCACCCCTGGGAAACATCCTGCCTCGGGCCCAACAATCAAGCTAGAGAACAAGTGTCTCATTATTCCCTCAGACACTTACTTCTCCATAACTCAGAGAACACTCTCAGCATAAAGGAAAACACAGCTCCTAGCCTGCCCCATCGCCTCCAGCAGCCACAGGGAAGCTCCCACCGCCATACCTTGAAGAGTGTCCTCTTTCGCTACTTCAGTCTCATCATCATCATTCAGGCAATAAACTGTTTCTTTCTGTATATCTTCCTTTTTTAGGGTTCTTGCATCCACAACTATCCAAGTCTTTTTTACTTTCTCTGGTACAATCTTATATCCAAAAGATAAATAAAGGAAAACTAGGATTCAGAATGATGGAAGATTAAAGCCTTAATAATACTCTCCCTGGTTCATAAAGGAAAACTCAGGACAATACTCTGGTTATACTGTTTAGTTTGCTAGCATGAAAATTTCAGTTTATTTTATGACACCATATAGTGGATAATTCTCATTATATTCATAATTCCCCCAGAGCAAGCAAAAGATAAATACTAGCTTGTACAAACATAAACAGATTCTATACAATACCTTTACACTGTCGAGTAAAAGAAGAATGTCCATTTTATCAGTTTTCCAACAAAAAAGAGTGAACAATCTATCAGTCATCAGAAATCAGCAAATAACTATTTAAGGACCACTTGAGAACATATCTTAATTTTGTATACTTATTTTGCACATTGAAAGTGTTCATTTATATTTAATAAACATGTCATATATATTTATATGAGTATTTAAACATGTAACGCACATGCATACTTATACATTTCAAAGAAAGTAAGAAGGTTAAAGACAACTCAGACTGGAATTCCATCAAATAATCACCTTTAAGGGTGTGTTATTATGTACAAATGTACCTATGTCACACCAAAGGCAAATTCACAGTAACAATTTAATATTTTTCAGTATTACATAGCTGCTGTTACTATCAGATATGAATTAGGTGTGGCTAAACAAAACTGAACTTTGGTGAATTTAGATTTCTGCTACCATTCTACAACGATAACACTGCATTTTCTTTCTTTAAAAAAAAAAGAAGTCTGAGTGCATGATTAATAATCAATTAACAATGGAAGGAAAGATGAGGAAATCAAATTCTATTTCAGAAAATTGTGAAAACTTTCCTATGATGTCTTAGACATATAAAGCTAAACAGAGATTAAATGAGCAGGGAAAACAGCTAGAGATGTAATAATTATGGTTCTGACTAATCCACACAAGAACGGTCATTCTTTACGTAAGCATATTTATCTTCCTGGTAACATTTCTCTAAAAAATAGCATCTGGCGATCACTTACCGATTTATAGGCCACAATTTTTATAGACAAATTGGAGCCAATGGTCAGTTGACAGGGCCAAGCCATGGACCGCTTCTCAATTTTCTTAAAAACACACAGCTGTCTCAGACTCTCACTTAACAAAGAATAAAAAAATCAACAATTTCCAAATGTTAACTTTGCTAGATTATGCAGTTAGTTTTCTGTATAAGAAGTGAACTGTTGTTGATCAGACAGGGAGGAATAGCAGGGGATGGCAGGAAAATGACAGTGACAACTTGGGAGAGAGCCAACACGCAAGTGAACTGGCTTAGGAGGAAGCAGAAGTTGAATTACTTTGCTGACAGGTGAAAATGAACATCTATATCCTTCCCTCTTCAATCTATTCCTTCAACTCTGCAGAACAAGAAGACCTCTGAGACTGTGAAAGCAGTACATCCCCAGGGAACTCTGTATAAAGGGCTCACCAACTCCACGGAAACCTGGGTATCAAAGGCGGGCCACATCTTGGAACACCACTGCTCACAATCTATAATTCGCTCAACAATTCCAATTCTCTTAGAGATTGCTAAATGAAGACTACACAGGGAATAAAGGAACTTAATTGTCAACATTTAATCCTAAGGTTTAAGGATAACTCTAGGTTTCTTACTGGCAGGAACAGCTAGGATAGGAAAATGGCACAATATATAGTGCTATTTCATTTGGAAAAAGTAAAGATTAATTCTATTTTCAATTGGGCCCTAATGAAACACAGGGAATGGAGATAGGTGGAATTTGTGGTATTCACCAAAATAAAGAACAAAGGAATTAATGGCCAAACACACTCAAATTACTCAGTGAAGCCATTCTGATTACCTCAATGCAAAACAAAACAAAATAAAACAAAACAAAACAACAGATTCCACTAAAGGGGTAAAGAAGATTATCTTACATTATTTTCAAAGTTACAGACAGAAGTCTTGAGAGACTCCAAGTTTCAAAAATAATTTACGAAGCACAACAACCTAAACAACCTAAACAATCTGGTTTAGGTTTTCTTCCAAAGCTTACGATTCATCTAAAACGATAGTACCTCTCATTCTTGAGTTTGTTTGGGACTGAAGAAATACGAGCCAAGTGTATCCTGTTTCAGAGGACATTTCAACTCTAAGTTACATCTAAGACCACTGTGCGGTTTGGATTTGGTCCCAGGGAAATTGCTAAAAGATCAGCATTAAAATATGAGAACTAAGAACAGGTCATTTGTCCACCTGTAGAGCTGACTACTCCCCAAGTAGAAGTCAGTTTTTCTTCCTAAGACCTACCATACACAGAGTAGAATCCACCGCGTTTAGTTTGCTACAACAGTAGAAATGTTCTGTTTCTAACCGCGCCTATTCAAAAGGCTGTTAAGAACTAGAAACATGGCTACTTTGACAGAGGGACTGAGCTTGTAACTTATATAACTTTAATTCCCTTAAATAGCCCATATGACTAACAAGTACTATACGGGATGATGAAGTTCTATTCCGCATCTCCCTGGCAGGCCTCATTATTAAAGTAGCTTCCAATTGGTAGTATAATGAACAATCAGTACTAAACCTACTTATTGCAACATATGGTGAAAAAAAAAAAACACACTTAGCCATTTGTATAGTCCCATGATTTTTCTTAGGGATAGTCATGGTTAATATGATTAATTTAAGACACGAAGAGAAGAAAAAACTCAGGAACACATATGTGCACATATTGTGACCAGAAAACCAATTACATTGTGAAACTGCACTGTCAGCAGTCCAGTGATTCCTCCAGCAATCACCTGGGGAATTACAGCTCATTTGTACAGATTTCCCTACCTGTAATCCTTCCAGGGTAACTGCTTAGAAAATGAAGGTGTGCCATTTGTCACTTACAGTTTAACACATCAGAAATACTTAAAGATTATGATTTAGAAGAAAAATTAGAACAAATATACACTATAGCTACTAAAAAAAGATTCTATTGGTTAAGTTTTTATTTCAACCATATACATAAACAACATTATTTTGTATACTGAGTACTCACAAGAATATTTGTGGAATGAATCAAATGACAAACTAGAATTAATTCATAAACATCATGCAGTATAATTGTTGAGGGTTGAACCTATACAAGCCATACCGCCTGGCAAAGGTAGTCCATTGCTTGCCTTACCAAATCAGGGCTCCCAAACACATAACTATTCTATGCGCCATCAATCCGTCTTAGGTTCTTATAGTCTCTAATTAAAAGGCTAAAAAGCAGTTTACTGTTACATGATAGAGAAATGTTACATGAAAGAGAAAGGCTTCCATTCTCCTTAGATCATGTTGTTTTTACTAATACCCATATTAAATAAATAAGGTATAAGTTCTTTATATTTAGTGAATTCTATTTTTGGTTTGTTTTCCTAAATAAACTATATTATGATCAACATATATTTTTAAGAAAGATTAATATATGGCCTATCTTATGGGCCTGGCGCAACAGCCTAGCAGTTAAAGTCCTTGCTGTGAACATGCCAGGATCCCATATGCGTGCTGGTTCTAATCCCAGCAGTCTCACTTCCCATTCAGCTCCCTGCTTGTGGCCTGGGAAAGCATTCAAGGATGGCCCAAAGCCTTAAGAGTTGGGGTGGTGATAGCTTGAACTACGTGGGATCACACGGAAGCAACCAACACTCACGAGTACTGGGGCCAAGAAAAGGCTGGGCAGGTCCAGACGGCAGCACCCATATGTGCATCCTAAAACAGGGTGTAGGGTGTGCCCGCCACAATATTCACCAGCGCAAAGGCCAAGATGGAGGGGCAGACTGTGCTGGACAAGGGCCTAGCACCTACTGGCATGTGTGAGATCTGGGTCTGAGATTAGGCTGAGTGGGGGAACTTGGGAAACTCCCCTATGGGTTTATAGCTTCCACTGCTGAGCACAAGGTTAGACCTGGGGGTTGGGCAAGCTGGGCAAAGTAGCTTCATCTTTTGGTAAGAGTGTGGGTTCGTTTTGGAAGGGAAAGACTGGGAAGAACTGAGCAAGCCTTACCTCACTGGCAAGTGCAGAAACCAGGCTGGAGCACAGATCATGCTTGGTTAGGTTGTCACACCTGCCAGTATGCATGAGACAAGGATGGGAGCAGACTAAGTAGAGCCAGGTACCAGTGCCCACCAATGAGTCAGGCCTGGGGGGAGGCTAGGGCAGGCCAGGCTGCAGCATCCAAAGGCAAAGGCCAAGACAGGTGAGGGACTAGACCAAGCTGGGTCAGAGCAACCACTGGCATGAGTAAGATCTGGGGCAGGGATCAGGTCTGGTTGGGGAGCTAAGGGGACGCCCTGGGTGCATTGTGGTTCCTACTGGGTGAATGAGAGGGCCAGAGTGGGGGCTACTATCTAGTCTGGACATGGCTGCAGTGTCCCTTGGCAATGGGTGTGGAGTGGGTATAGGGTGCACCACACTGGGCTATACTGCAGTACCCACTGGCACTTGTGAGAACCAGGGTGGGTATAGGGCAGGCTAGGCTAGTTCTCTACTCCTGTGAGCTATGTGTGAGCTGTGTCTGAGTGTGGGCCAATCTTGATTGGGCTATAACACCCAACAGTAAAAACAGAATGGGTAAGGGCCGGTCAGGAAAGGCCACTATTCCTGCTAGGACAGGAGGTGGACTAAGTAGGGCTGGCCCATGGACTCACTGATGGGTGTGAGATCTCATACTGGGAGGGGTTCTGATGGAGGAGCTTGGGTAATTCCTCTGTTTGGACACAGTCCCTTGCAAGTGAGTGCAAGAACCACGACACGGAGCAGCCCAGACCAAGCCAGGTTATGGTACCCACCAACATACAAACAAACAAATTAAAAAAAAAAAAAAACCAGAATGGTGGTCTCATCCACTTTCCTGCAGCCCTTGACCCTCTGCACCCTAATCAACTATGTGAAAATCATCACAAACAAAAATGAAAAATAAAAGACATCTACTAGTTCACCTTACATTGATGTGTGGTGTCTCTTGTGCTATCTAATATTCCCAATCTTCACTGCATAAATCCTGGAAATAAATCTGAAATGTTAACCAGCCAAAAAGGCTGATAATTGTTAAGGACACTAATCTTAAAATAAAACAGAATACTTATTAAAGAATGACTGCCAATTCAAGCGCAGACCCCCAAAAAGAGAAGCTCCCAGATCTCTCTAATCAAAAAAACATTGACATGACTACAAACCAAAGTTGCCCCATTGTTTTCCCCTCTTACCTGAAGGAATAAATTTCATCCAGTCCATCTTCACCTTCTAGAGATACCATCATCATTTTCACCATCTGAATGCCTTCCTTTTGCTGCTCAGTAATTCCTTTTGGAGGAAAATAGGGTCCATGACGGTCCAAGGGTAAGCCATCTCCTCTGTCTTCAGTTCCAACTTCCTTGCCAACTGGAAAAGGCAAACTACCAGGAAAAGACCGCAGCAGTTGAGAAACCAGGAAATAAATGAGGTTCCAATATTGTAAATGTCACTAACTAGCTATGAAAAAATGGATATGTTGGCAAAACTCACCTGGCTAAAATTCTCATCTGCAAATGACACAGTGTTTACTTAAGTCAATATTCTTTCAGTTTCCTGTGATGGAAATCTCTGATTTAGTAAAAAGAAGGTGGAGGGAACTTATTGTCTTATATAATCCAACAGTAAAAAAGGGAGGGTTGTACACAGTCTTGTCATTACCAGACCCAAGGTTGCAAATGTTACAAAGCTTATCTGATTCTCACTCTGTCTCCATATTCACCTTCATTGTCCTTTATGCTGGCTTCATTCTCTCAGCCTGCCCACCTTTATCTTGCCTCTGAACATATTCAATGCCTGCCTCAGTCTAAATGCATACTCCACAATCCCTCTGTTGAAATTTGGGAAAAACTGCCCACTTCGGGGTTAGGAGAGACCTTTGGTAAGCGATGCAGTCATGAGAGCAGACCCCCTAATAAATGGTTAGTTTATGTCTGTGACATTGAAGTGAGCCTTTTCTTTTTCTTTTGTATCATGTAAAGACAGTCTTCATCCTTCTCACCATGTGGGAATGCAACAAGGTGCCACCTTGAACATAGGCCAGGGGGTGGTCTGCCAGAACTGCGATCTTGGACTTTACAGTCCACAGATGTGATTAATACATTACCACGTTTATAATCTGCACAATGAAACAAGCTTTTCATTGGGTGTTTTGTTATAGCAGCGGGATCGGACAAAAGTAAGCTCATTGCCCAACTCTTCTACCTGGGAGAGATTCAAAATCAAAACAGGAATCATACAGAAGATCCCAGGCTTTGTTTAGACCAGGAATTGAGTGCAGGAAAGATCACTTCCTAGAAAAAGCCAATGAGATATTCCAAGCAGAAGGAAAAAAGGAAAGCCCACTGATGATTGCTCAAGGTTATTATACAGATTATATCAGAGACCATGCATAACATTTCAAATGCAAAGAAGTAAAACCCCCATTTTCCTTGTGCTTTACTCCAGCTTTTTGATTGCAATGAGAATAAAACCAGACTGGGGTTATGCATCATGGGAAAATTCAATCAGCAACGCAAACCAAAAACTCTACATTTTATAACATGCTATATGGAACGTTACAAAAAAGCACTCAAATAAACAACCTCATTTCACACTGCAGGTATTGTTTGGGTGGAAGATTTCCATATCTATCATACAAAAAGAAAGTGAAACTACAGAGATGAAGTAAGTTGGTTAAAGCTGCACAGCCAGTAACTAAGAAAAGCTCCTCTACCTAACCAAAAGGCAACGTCACTTCCTGCCGCCCCCTCCCCCCCCCCCGCCCCCAAAAGCTCGATTTTAAATGCAGTCATCTTTTCAGTTCACACAAATTGCGTGGTGGTCATCACTAAGTGGAAGATTGTTTTTTAATTTGATTTTCTATTTTTCTTTACTATAATGAAAAGGGGGTTTCTGTTCACATTTTTCTATGAATACTGTGACAAATGTGCATGTCCTCAATTACCTCAGATTAAAGGCTTTCAGGGAGCAGGTTTGCATGAAATTATTGCTATTTCCATAACATCTACCACAAAGGAACAAAGGACATAAAGTCAAAGTGTCAGGAAGTTTATCCTAGGATGTAGCTACAATACAAGGCAGCTATCTTGTATTAGACCAGAAACAACCTTTCTCAGGAGTCAGTCAGCAGAAAAAACTGAACACTACATCCCAGGAACAAACCTGCTCAGGACACAGTGCTTCTCCAGTTGCTGGAACTTGTTCAGCCCAAAAGCAATCATGCAAAAAATCCACCAAGCACTGAAAGCATGAACTTGACCACACCTGGCCCTGCACCAGCTCATACAAGAGTCTAGGTTGAGCTCACACCAGGTGAGCTTTCTTGGGGGACTCCCCAAGTGGATCATTGGACTCAAACCTCAGCCACAGGAAAAATCACAAGATATGTGGTCTGACCTTGGAGTGCACATATCAGGGCTGGCTTCCTCAGTTGCTGATGCCCATGCAGTATGCAGCATGCCCAGATGCACATGGGGGAGAAAAAGTTCAGCGCATCTGGAGCAGTAGAAGATGTCAAATGCCTCATCAGAGATTGGAAAGTAGAACAGGTTGGACCACTCTCCCAGCCAAGCTTTGCAGCAAGTGTCTGAGTCTGTGGATGCACTAAGGTGGACTTGGTCAGCCAACAGACATTGTAAAAAATCTTTCTTCAACCCTAGTGCAACAAAGCTGACAATGCCTCGTATCTATTAAAACTACTCAAGTAACACCCTCAAAACATTTCTCACCACATCAGGGCCTCTAAATTGTGAGCAAATAATAATCTCCCACCACTGGGTGCCAATGCAGTTTGACAGCCAGGAATGGACCCTACCCCTTCACCTTCTGTGGATAAAGGAGAAAAACAAAACAAAACAAAAACTCTGAAACATCTGTGCCACCTACCTTCCTCTACACCTTGATCTTCCCTACCCAAATGCAGGCCCACATGGGCGCTTAATCCTCTAAACTATGTAAACAAGATTAAAAACAAAACGAAATAGAATATTTTTAAAAGCTATAAACTTGAATTTATATGCTGGAGGCTTATGCCATAAGGGAAGGCATTATTAGTGAAGAAAAAAATGCAACCACATAGCAAGGAAGTAGAGCTTGTGCACACATTATATTGCTGATACCAAAAGAAAAAGTCATTTCAGATGACACTGGTAGAAGTGAGCACGCTTCAACCGTGCAGAGGCATCCTGAGCTCCTGCACAGGGAAGGCAAGCGGAGCTGGGGTTCTCAAGCTCTGATGAAGCCTCAACCTAGTAAGAAGTGTCACTTAAAAAGCACTTAATTTCTTTCAAGTACCGTCTTCGCAAGTATCAGTTTGATGGCTTATTCTGAGCTATTTTCTGTGCTCCTCCAGAGAAGATGTCCCTCAGAAGTGTTAAGCAGGACATCCGTGCCGGAGAGGGTCTTCCTTCCCCATGCATCTGAAGAAGCCACATGTTCATCACTCTCAGTCAGAGGCTTCTGGGTACAGCCCTCAATTTGAAAAATGAGTGTCCTCAGAAGATTAATAATTCAACATCCTATCCCAACATTCAGCTTTCACTAAAAATAGTATAAGAGCAAGCTGGTTTTGAGTACAGCAGGAAGGCTTCATGTAGTGCAAAGGATCTTTGTGTTAAGGATGTAAGACATAGAAAGTACATCCTGCGGGAGAAATCCAAGCCATCCTGCAGGAGGGACTACCCCCACTAACAAACTGTGAAACACAGCTTTCCCTTTTTTTGTGTATACCCCGCCTCCAAATACCAATAGAAAATTGCATTTGGTATGTGCCTTTGCTTTATTTAGTTCTGGAAAGGAGTTAAACATAAAAATTTATGCCGTGGGGCTGGTGCTGTGGTACAACATGTCAAACTGACACCTACAATGCTGGCATTCAATAGAAACACTGGTTCAAGTCCTGGCTTCCCCACTTTCAGTCCAGTTCTCTGCTAATATAAGCCAGGGAAGCAAAGGAAAAAGGCCTTAGTGTCTGGGTCCCTGCTGCCCAGATGTAAGGTCAGGAAGAGTGTTCCAGACCCCTAGCTCTATCTTGTCCCAGTCTTGGCCATTGTGGCCATTTGCAGAATGAATCAAAGCTTGGAAGACCTCTCTCTCTCTCTCTCTAACTCTGCCTTTATATAAGTAAATCTTTTCCTAAAATTCTGTCTTTAAAATGATTGCCAGGTTGGCATTACTGCCTACTGAAAACATCTACTATTTGTAGGACGCAATTTCTACAGCCTTTAAGAGAACTGTTAATTAAGTAATTGGGTACGTATGGAGGAGATACACTAAACATTCTCCATGATCTGTCCACTTCCTCAAGTTTTTGAGTCTAAAACAGTGAACAACTGATCTGCTACCGAGCTCAGTTCTTTCCTATCACTATGACTTCATTTCTTTATCTGCAAATCTCAGAACAGTTCCTGCAACAGAGAGAGGAATCATTATGTCATCCGATAGATTCTATTTCAGAGCAAAAAGAGAAGATTCCTGGGAATCAGGCACTCTATAAAGGGGTGCCACCCAATGCTCGAGGCCATCATAGGATTTGCCCACATTCATTATTCTTAGGATCTTACAAGAATTGCAGGGAGATGCCAGACTTCTTCAAGTTATGGATGATAATATCCAGCTGATCCTTGCTGAATGGACTGCTGAGGTCAGTGAAGACTTCAATATGCCTCTTCTCAAACTTCTTTCCTCTAAAAGAGAAAGTTATCACATTAAGAAATCATTCTCTTACATTATCTCCAACAAATCCAAATATACATAGCCACTGAGCAGGGAAGGGCCAAGAAATGATTTAGACATTGCTGATACAGCTGACTGTTTTGGACATCTACACACTGTTGATGCTTAGGTAAGATCCTAGGAAATACATAATCAGCCCTGGTATACCTCATACTGCGACCAGACTGGGAAAGAGCTCTGAGCACCAGGAAAACCATGTTCCCTAACTCTTAACTCTTAGTGTAAAGATAAGGTCACTTTGATTTCGAAAGATCCATTCTTGGATCCCAGCCTCCAGAAGGGAAGGACACAAACAGAATACTCTCCTAATATCCCACAACTACAGTCATGCATAGATTCTCTTTCCAAATAGCCTGTTTTGATTCTACACACAAGCTAAGAGCAAAATTATGTGGAAGAAACATCTGGAATCTCAGTGCAAATGCTCCTCCTAACAAGTGAGGGAAGACATGCACGTGTGCGTACATGTATGTGCACGTGTGTGCATGTGTGTGCATGTGTGTGCATGTTAAGTGTGCATTTGCTCAAAGACACACATTTTCAAGGCATACTAATTCAATAATTTATTAGGAAATTGGCCTAAGCTATTATTCTCTCAGTTACACATGGATTATATCACTTATTATTTTTTTTAAATTTCTGATAAATTTTAAGTGAAATAAGAAAAAAATAAACTAAAATAAGCCAAACATTTCTCTCCCAGAGAAATGCCCATCAGATACAGGACCTTTTAAAACTCTAGAAAACAGAGTTTGAAGTGAATCACTGAATGCTTATCAAATGTTTCCTTAGCCACATAAATATTCTACTTGACTAATGATGAATCATACAGAACACTGAACACAACAACCCATGTAATTTTATTTTACAAAAAGCTGTTTCCAGCTCTCGGTAGTCAAGACACTTACACAGTTTCACGTTGAATCACATCCATGCACACAATCAGTGCGTCCAGGACTCGGCTGGTTAAGGGTGTGAACATCCCCAAACATTCCCTTCATCCCACGAGTGATCAACTTTTCTTTGAAGAAAATCTATAGGGCTGGAAATTGTGGACATAGGACTATGTGCCGATTTAGTGCTACCTGCCCAAGTGTACTTTTTCCAAAGTCTCTTTCACTAATGTATTCACTTTACTATTTCATATAACATATTCTACTTGTTCAATCAAATATCATGCCATTCAACAGTATCTAGAACTCATTTTCGGTGATCACAGTTCATTGTTCGATCTGAAGTGAGCCACCTGTAGCATGTTCAAGTCACTCCCAACACAGCAGTGCCTCCCAGTGATCAACGATGGCACTACCAATTGTTCAGAAATGGACAAGAATAGCTCCTTAAAATCAGGGCACCTGTGGAGGAAAGTGAACAATCTCACCATTTGCTTATCACTCTGATTTTTAGCCACAAAGTATCCTCCGTTCAGAAAATGACAGAGATTACTAATGCTATGCCTTATTAAAAATGTTTTCTCAGAGTAGGCATCCGGGCTAAAATGTAGGCTGGGATGCTCCACATTCCATACTGTAGTGACTGGGTGTGAATTCTGATCCCATCCTTGAATCCAGCTTCCTGCTAGTGTGCACCTCAAGAGGCAGCAAGTGACATCCCCAATAGTTGAGTCCTTGCCATCCTCAAGGGTGACTGACCCAGACTACATTTCTGGCCCTGAGCTTTTGCTGTGATCAGACCCAACCGTTGCAGGTATCTGGAAAGTGAGCCATCAGATAGAAGCTCACTCTGTCTCTTTCTCTCTCTCTCACTCACTTGTTTGTTGAGTTTGGCTATCAAATAAATCATAATAAATAAACAGTAAGTCATTTCTCATCATCTGAATACTGTTGGTCAGCACCCCACAAGACCCCCTGCTTACAGTCAACACAAGCATATATCCTCCCAACCTCTTATCACTAACAGAGAAAGGTCAAGCTCTCGGAGGGCCTGGAGCCAGATGCCCAACCTGATCAACTTCATCTTAAATCCTAACACATGCCACCTACATCTCCTCAAGGCAAATTCTCTCCATATATTCAGAGATGGGACCCTGAAGGCTCACCAAACTGTATTAGGGATTCCCCAAACTAAAGAACACATCTAAGGAGTTTGCCTAGCTCAAAAAGGATACAGTCAGCTTGCTGAGAACCTGGCTGGATTTTGCTGTCGATGTCTTCCAACAGATCAAAATCTGGCAGCATCAGGTGTCTGTGCACAGTGATGTGCTGATACTGACCCTCGGCAGCAAGGGCATTCTTGGTGTCATCGGTACCAAACAGGACTAAAGCTATTTCATCCTTGCTCTCGGCAAAAACCTAGAGAGGAACATCAGAAGACCGGAAATTATGTTAGGACAGACTGTAAGCAAGGAGACACTTGACCTTCGGGATACAGGACAACCTTAGGAAGCCCCACGGCTGTAGCAAGTTTGGATGCATGAAACAGGAGACTTCAGGAGCAACACGACTGCTACATTCTAGCCAGATGTTTGCTTTGACTTTGTTTCAGCGCAAGCTGGCATGATAGAATGGCTCTCAATAACTCTCAGTCATTCCACTAAACATAGATTTTAATACATATATATAATATAACAATATATGTAACATTACACATATATATGTGTGTGCATCTACTGAAGGTTTAAATTTTCTAAATATTAAAAAAAAAAAATCCAACTTACAAGTTCATATGCTATATACCTGCATTACTACTGACAAGCACAGTTTTAAAAGTTCATAGAAAACAAAATTGATAGTTTTGGTGCAAAAAAAATTTAGAAATCCAGGCGTAGTTTTTTCATAATACGCATTTTTTTCATGAACTTGAAGACCACATTCATATTATAAATAAATTCTTACATATGTAAACAGGGAATTAATAGATAAGAAAGTACATACATTGGGACTTGCATAATGGCTCAGTGTCTAAATCCTCATCTTGTAAGTGCCAGGATCCCAAATGGGAACTAATTCATGTCCCGGCTACTCAATTTTCCATCCAGCTCCCTGCTTATAGCCTGGGAAAGCAGTAGAAGATGGCCCAAAGCCTTGGAATCCAGCACCCAGTGGGAGATCCAGAAGAAGTTCCTGTCCTGGCTTCGAACTGGCTCAACTCGGCCATTGTGGCCATTTGTGAAGTGAACCAGTAGATGAAGGTCTTTCTGTAAATCTGCCTTTCCAATACAAATAAATTAATATTTTAAAAAGACAAAAGTATATATGTTGGCACTTTCAGAGAATAAATACTGGAAAAATACTCATCAGAACACTTACACAATGGCATAAGATATTCTCACAAAAATGAATCAATGAATTCACTGACATGAATAAATCTCCAAAACAAAGGTAAGAAAAAATGTATAGATTAGTAAGTATCATATGAAACAACCCATATATGCCCCTGACAGATTATTTAAGAATATATACTTAAGTCTAACACTACAAAATACGCATCTGCATCTGCCAAAATTCTTTGGAAAGGAGAAGAGGGAAAAACTAAATTCGGAAGGGACTTTATTGGTAATATTTCAAGAAAAGAAAAAAATTAAATCAATATGATAAAACATTAGGATTTGTACGGCATGAGACAATGGGAAAATCAGTTTTCATGGTGCAGTCCTTTTGTTTTTGCTGCTTTATGAATGACTTCATAATGAACAGTAAACACAACAAAAAAAAACCGATTTGACATAGCAGGCGGTGTGACCCTACGTATTTATAAATATAAGCCTTTTAATTACTAAAGCGCTCTGTGTGGACAGAATGGAATTCTTCGCCTTCACTTGTGTTCTTCTGCTCGATTCCCAAAACTACAATTTCCAGTTGAACCTGGAGTTTACGGCCAATGTGAGTTGGCCTTAGCAACTTGCTTGACTAACAGAAAACCATAGAAACAACTTTCTGGAATTTCCAAAGCTAGGCCATAATAAGCCGTACCAGCAGGGCCCCCTTCAAACTGTCACTGTTGAGACATTCTCTTCAAGAACGAGCTGCCACGCTGAGAACTCTCAGCTCGCTGGACAGGTTAATACACAATAATAATGCATAACACGCGTAGGCTTGTGGCGCACAGCCTCACCTGTGTTCCCAGCCATCAGAACACTGATGCTTCCCAGCACACAACTGTACATCACCTGGAATGGCTGGCTCGGCTGAGCCTTCTGATGATGCCCGTCCTCACTTCCACCTGATGGTAACTGTGAAATCACCTGAAGAAAACTCAGCCAGCAGAGCCCATCCAGTCATCAAACAAACCATGACAAATGTCATTTAAGACACTGAGATTTTGGGGGTAGTTTGGTACACTGAACTAGACAGGAGGAAACTGAAGGACTGGCTTAAGATCACAAGATCAGCACATGTGGCACAGGAAGGATTTAATTCCTGCCCATTCAGTTTTCGAGACTCTGTGTGTGTGTGTGTGTGTGTGTGTGTGTGTGTGTGTGTGTCTTTTAAAGATTTATTTTTACTGCAAAGTCAGATATACAGAGAGGAGCAGAAAAAGAGAAGAAGATCTTCCGTCCGATGATTCATTCCCCAAGCGGCTGCAATGGCTGGAGCCGAGCCGATCTGAAGCCAAGAGCTTCTTCCAGGTCTCCCACGTGAGTGCAGGGTCCCAAGGCTTTGGGGGTGTCCTCAAATGCTTTGCACGGAGTTGGATGGGAAGCAGGGCTGCCAGGATTAGAACCGGCGCCCATATGGGATGCTGGCCCATGCAAGGTGAGGACTTCAGCTGCGAGGCTACTGCATCAGGCCCAGAGATTGTAATTTCGAATTGTCTTATGTTTCTACACTTGATCTTAGCCAAAAGGCTGAGAAGCAATGTCTTTTGTTTCTGATAAAAACTATAATGTCCAGTGACTGGGTCAGAATGAAGAAAGAAGAAAATATCAGGCTAGAGTGGCAGACAGACCTACATGTGCATGAATACATGATAGAAAACTCACCAGATTCCCCAAAACACAGAGGTTGAACAGTAATAAGGGGATTAGGATTTTGCCTTAGAAGGTAAAAGCAATAAGCAGCTAAAACACAGGTGGCAAGCTCAAGACCAACCTGAAACTTACCTGTCGCTGGACAAACATAGTCATCACCTTCTTGGCTTGTTCAAATGGAGATTCTTCTCCAGGAAAGGCGTTGCCCATGGCAAAGCCTACATCCATACAGAGCACAACAGCTGCCTAGAAACAAAGGCCCAAAGACTGTTTGAGAAAACGAAAGGCATAAAGTTTTGAAATACATCCTCTGCTTATCGTGTTCACAGAACTTCAGATATATTTAGAGGTGTGATAAACAGAAGAAACATGTTTGACGTGAAGACTATATATGTACAACATATAAATTTTCACTGCAGTAGCCTTTACACTTTTTAAAAGCTAGGAAATCTCTCAGGCAGGAACGTTCATTAGGTAACTGCTGTTCCCCTGGCCTGAGCTCAAAGCAAAGCCATATTGAGCAGACTACAATGAAAGCCAGTACAGCTAAGCCCAACACACATAAAACTACAGTTAAACTGTAGAGTTACAAGAATAGAAGCTTTTATAGTAAGTCATTGATTTGGAATATGGTTTGTTCTGAAGCATTTATGTGGTAATCTATATACACGAAGATAGTATACTCCAACAATGTGAATCAGTTTTTAAACTGAGGATCAAAGAATAAGACACAGAATATATCTAACTGGAGACACAGAGACCTAATAAAGCAGCACAATATTCTATGACAATAGTATGCAGCAAACAAGAGAGACAGAAGGAGCAGATACACAAGACTGGTGGGGAGGGCAGAGAAGAAAACAGGCATGTGACCCTTGGGTGAATCTTAAACAACAAGCAGGAATCAATAAAGCAAAAAAGGAAGCTACAGAGGGAATCACACAGGTCAAGCACTAACTCACTAGGCAACAATAACATATGCAGGGAAATAAGGAAAGCACAAACTAAAAAGAACAGTTCTAAAATGTAACTGAATGTGCATTACAGTAGATCTGAATTAACAACAATCACAACTTCAGGGCACGTTATAAAATGAGTCAACGATGACATAATTACAACAATTTCCCACACCTGCCTCACTCCAGTCTCCTAAATATTTTAGGTTCTACTAACAGCACAGTAAATTCAAAACAGGAAAAAGACCTTCTGCTGAAAAAATTAGAGTGGCCATCTGAAGATCCAGGATCTGGTCCCACTTGCACTTCCCATTAGCTCAAGTACAAGGGAATTTCACTTAACCTCAGGGTTCATTCACTAAGGAAGAAGACAACTGAGACCCATGAAGCCAAAGGTCATATCCAGAGTTGCTCTGATCAGCAGGCTCACCAGTGCTTTGTACTAATCCAACTGTCAACAGTCTGAACATCCCATTTTATGATGTAGTTACACGTGAATATGAAATGCACTTAGTCAAGAGCATTGGAGGCATAGAGATCCACTAAGGAAAACCTGGGTATTTGAGCCAGATGAGAAGACTAAGGAAAATATAATAGCTTCTCCTGATATCTGACATCTGCGTTACAAAAGATTGACAGGCAGGAGAGTTAGTTAGATTGCTCTGGCTTCCTGGAAGGGGTGGCATGTGCACATAACAGTTAGATATTACCAATAAATAAATCATTTTCTGACACAATGTTCTGCTGACCGTGTGTGTGTAATAGATATCATGAATAAAGAAACTATTTTGTGACACAATGCTCTCCTGAGCTTAGATGTACTTGAAAAACCTCAATGAGCACCTATCAGGGATGATTCCGAAATGTATTTTATTCTTCCCAACTCATGAGAAAGAGACATCATTTTTCCCTTAGTACAAAGAATGGTCCATAATGCATGTATTTTTTGGAGTAAGACAATTATTTTGGGAAAGATGGAAACAAACTACAAAGTCCCTTTGACAGTAATAAAAGGTATATTCTATGGGGATCATAACCTAAAAAGCTCAGAAAACATCCTTTTGCATCCATTTAATACACAATAATAAAAGCTACTTCTTAAAAAAAAAAAAAAAAGACTTAGAAAACCAAGCCTTTTGCCAGGAAAAGGCATCAAGAAATTTAATCATATGGCACTTATTATTTTTTTTAATCTAGAAGAAGAATGGCCTCCATAGAAAGAGGTTGTAACAATTTTACTCCAAGTGCATCTACACAAACCCCTCCCCACTGGAGCTACAAAGTTTTCAGCAGCTGAAAGTAAAGAACCAAGAAGGTGAGTCATTGTAATCAACATTTCCCCAAGGAAGTTGAGGCGATCAGATCAGATTTTATCTGTATGAATGGATCAGTCCTGAAACCACACCTCCCTCTAGTGATCCTTCAGGGACAACTACACATCTCTTCTTAGGTTAACAAAACCACTTTTAAAAAATTCCCTGTCACTTCTGTTATTAACCTGGGACCCAAGGATCATAGATTACCAGCGGCAGATACGCTCCAGGGCTCCGAAATCAGCCAGCCTGGGTTCAAAGTTACAGACTGTCTCATCACTTCGGTTCTCGTTGCCTGTGTTTTGCACCTGCAGTGAGGGGTTAGGGGTTTTCACCAATCCGTGTTAAAATGAAATGAGATCATAAGAGCTCTGTATCTGCAATTCAAAAAATAAGATCTCCCCAAAAAAAGACGAGATACTAAGTTAATGGAGAAGTGCATTCCATAACGCGATGTATTAAAAGTTAGTTTATTCACACAGTCCCTCTCTTAAATTTACAAGCCGGTGGAGTTGGTGTTTATCACGGCTGATGCCCGTTCTCACACAGATGAGAAGAACCTGGGTTCACGGAGGACTGAGAACTGAGGAGAAAGGGAATGAGCAGCTAGTGGAGAGGGGCGTGGGAGGAGTGCACAGCGGAAGGACTGTCAGCTCAAATTCAGCGAGGCTCAAATTCAGGTTCTCGGACTCCCAAATCCGCATGGCACACCCATCGTTTTCGGCCCTCTTCACCTAGCCCAACACCACGACCTTCCCTCCTGCCCTGCTCCTTGGCACCGCGGTGATCCCACATTTCCTGTTTCCGCATCGCCCTGTCCGGGGCCCTGGTCTGAGTAAGCCCCAGTCCATGGCCCTGTAAACTACCTTATTCCAGGACCGCGCCATGTTGCAGGTTCACAGGCAGCTTGGTTTCCGGTTCCGGGCGGGAAACTGTAGCACCGGCAATTTTGGTTCCGGCGAACTGGCAGGCGGACCGTACTGGGCAGGTACACTTCCTGCCTAGCCTAGAAAAGGCGGGGAAACCGAGCGCCGAATTTCCGCGCGTGCGCAGATCACCTCCTTCCTGCTAGGTGAAGCGTTTGTGGGTTTTGCGCTTTGGTGGATTGTTAGTACTAGCTAGCTACGTAATAAGCTCTTCTCTGGAAGATTTCATTCCCCTTGCTTTCTATTGAAATAGTACCTACAGCGTTTAGTGTGCGACCTGTGATGGTAAATTTCCTTGAGTATGGCTATTTTTCCAGGCAAGCAAAAATAAAATTGGTATTCTGCTTCGCAGAATAAAGCAGATGTGCAAATACCCGAAAGCGTAAAAAGGCTTCTCCTGTGGCTCTCCCAGTAGTGCCTAGGGGCTCCAGCCTGGGAGAGGGCAGGAGAGTTTTAATTTAATAGCTGCGTCTCAGTACTTATAGAAATGGTAACAAATGTCCATCACAGCGCTTGACAAGTTCATCATGCCCCTTGAGAACAACAGTCGAGCCTGAAGCTTCTCACCCTTGGAAGGAGGAAGGCCCCAGTGACCCTTGGGCAGAGAACAACTCTGTATCAGATGAGCCACAACCTGACAGGTGGTTGGCCAAATATATGGGAGGACCTGGCAGGGAATAATTTACAAACCTCTTCCCATACTGGGTAAATTACAACTGTTGACATGATCTCACTCTAGAACGTTTAGCCTGAGGACAAGTGGAACTAAAACTGAGAAGGGGGGGTTAAGGAAGCCAAAATTATAAAGTACACCAAAGCCAAGAGAGTCAGATGTTTCCAGTCTCTGTTTATAGAGCTCAGGATGTCCGTCCAGATTTTGATTCAAACAAGTTCTTTTGAAACTGAAATGTTTTTAGTGATTTTTAGAATGTGAGTGGTAAATAGAATTAGTGGAGAGTCAAACATGGTGTAGAAATCAGTATGCTTCTTGCCCATCATTCCATCTTGTATATACTCCATTCATTTTTCATTTTTTCTTTCTGTTGTTCCACTTTCATTCCCGTCCTCCTTTCCTCTCTCCTATTTCCCCTATTCATCCTTCCTCCTCCTCCTCCTTCTCCCACGCCCCCCTCTCTCCACCTCTCGTAACTAATTTGGAAAAGAAATAGTGGTTTTTAATTTTAATGTAACTTCTTTTTAAATTATTATCATTGTTCTATGATACAGTTTCATAGGCCCTGGGATTTCCCCTGTCCCCTCCCCAAACACTCCTCCCCTACCCCACCCAATTCCTCTATATTATTACTGTAGCATAGCTCTTCATAAACAGTCACGTGTTCATCATTGCAGGCATGAACAATGGCAGAAAGTACAGCTTCCTATTGTCAAGATACAGCTAATAGTTTCATTAGCTGTCCATCTTTGATCTGGAAGTAGAGACGCACACTGCACTGCATCCTCACATCTGGACATGATAGTCTCCATTACAGAGCCACCACACATCCCTCTTAAATGAAAGGCAACAATACAAAATTAACAACAGGAAGAAAAACCTGTTACAAAAAAACAGGTTGCAAACACCATGAATTTCTCAAGAGGTTTTGATAACTCAACAGTCCTGAATTGCTGGTGATCCTACCACTCCATTCACGATGAAATCTCTCCTGAATCCACTGGCTGCTCTAGTCGACCTTAGAGTTTCCATCTGCCCAGATCTTCACTGCCAATGATTGGCTGGGGTAGTTGATCAATTTGTTCTGTCCTCCATCCTCTGCCATGATACCAGGTGTCCTCTGGAGGCTCCAATGTACTGCCATATCCTCCATGAACGCATGGTGTTGGAACCCAGCCCAATCCTGTTTACCACATACTCTGCCTTCATGTAAACCAGTAGGAGCTGCAGTCTAGTTGGAGCAACCCACAAAAACCCCACCAGGCCCGCCCCTGCCCTGGTTCCTGAGCTTGCCAGTCTGTGCAGCAGACTGGTGCTGTCCACATCCCATTCAGCTCTCATACATGTTGATGGTTATTGAAGCCCAGTTCGTCCCAACCAGCCTCACTATCCAGTCTGCACTGGGGCCAGCAGGTGACACCATCTATATAAGTCATGCCTACACCTGACAGAATTTGGATCCTGTGCCAGCATCTGCCAGCTAATGCTGTGGCTAAGCCCAATCAATCCACACCAAAACTGGCTTATGCATGTACCAGAAGGCATAGTCAGCCCAGCCTGGCTTTTCCATGGTCCAGCTCACATGTGAGCCATCAGATGTGGCCCTGCCTGATCTGGTCTGCCCCCATCTCAGCTCTCATGCTCACCAGTGGGAGTAGTGGCCCTCACTGGGGCCATCCCCACCATCCCCCTGGTTTCACATGTGCTGGTTGGGTGCTGAGGCCCAGTCTGGCACAGACCCCTCACCTCGGCATTTGCCAGTGGGTGCTATAGTCTGGCCAGGCCAGGCCCACCCCCAATTCTAACTCACGCTGGTGGGAGCTACAGCCTAGCCCAGCCCTGCCAGCCACAATCCCATCCCTCATGTGGACTGACTGATATTGCTCCCTGACCTGTCCTAACCCACACTCCATTCAGGCACTCAGATTCTCCAGTGGGTAATATAGACTGACCCAGCCTGGCCTGCCCCCGAGCTGCACCAAATGTATGCTGGTGGATACCGTATTTTGGCCTGGTCTGGGCTGCTCCTCGTATTGGTGCTTGCACTCACCTGCAGGGAGCATGTCCCAACAGGGGAGTTCCAGCCTCCTCCATCTGGATCTCTCCCAATGCCAGATCTTGCACACACTGGTGCATCCATGGGCCAGCCCTATTTAGTCCACCTCCTGTTCTAGCAGGAACAGTGGCCTTTCCTTATCAGCCCTTACCCATTCTGGTTCTTGTTGTTGGGAGCTACAGCCCAGCCAAGCCTGATCCATACCCAGACACAGCTCACACATGGCTCAATGGGGGGAGAGACCTGGCCTAGCCTGCCCTATACCTACCCTGTTTCTCACGAATACCAATGAGTGCTGGATTCTACCCAGTTTGGCACATCAAATACCCAGCCCACACACATGCCAAGGGATTCTGTAACTATATCCAGACCAGACCACATCCCCCACCCTGGCCTTTACTTTCTCCAATGGGGATCACAACCTGGCCAGGGCGTCCCCTTCGCTCCTCGACTAGGCCTGCTCCCCTCCAGAGATTTCACAGAGTGGTTGCTCTGACCTGGCCTGGCATAGCCCCCATCCATCTTAGCCTTTGCCTTTGGATGCTGTAGCCTGGCCTGACCTAACCAACCCCCAGTCCCAACTCTCGCTGACGGATGCTGCAACCTAGCCCTGCTCAGTCTGCTCCCATCCCAGCTCATGTGAACCAGTAGATGTGATACCCTAGCCCAGCTTGACCTGCACTCCAGCCTGGTTTTTCCACTCACCAGTGAACTAAAGTCTGCTTGGCCCTGCCCAGTCTACCCCCTTCCAAAACCAACCTACACACTTGCCAACCAGTGAGACTACCTTGCCCAGCTTGCCTGACCCCTAGGTCTGGAACACATGCTCACCAGTGGGAGCTATGGCCCAGTAGGGAAGTCTCCCAGTTTCCACACTCTGCTCACTCCCAGACCCAGATCACACATGTTCAGCAGGTGCAAGACCCTTGCCCGGCATAGCCTGCCCCTCCATCTTGGCCTTTGTATGAGCTGGTGGATGTTGCGGGCCAGCCCGCCCCACACACTGTTTTAGGAGTCACATGCAGTGCTGCAGCTTGAACCTGCCCAGCGTATTCTCAACTCCAGTACCCGTGAGTATTGGAGGGTTCCATGTTCACTCCTAGTTCAGCCAGTCACTATCCCAACTCTTGAGCTAACCAGCAGGACTTGTATTTCCATAGGGTTGGGCCCATTTATGCCTCACAGAATCCAGGCCTGGATCTCTTGCATGCTGGTTAGTGTCATGGTCCTGCCTAGTGTGACCTGTCCCCTATTCCAACACTCAATCAGGTATTTGGATCTAGCTCCAGCCATAGCTTTCATGTGGTATCGTGTGTGATGGTCAGTGATGCTCTGTGCTAACAAGCCCATCTCAGGACTCCCATGTGAGCTGATGAATCACTCTGACCCATAGAGATCTTCCAGTCTCTCCCCTCCGTATCACCAGGTCTCAGTTCCCTCACTTATCAGCCAGTACAGTGGCCCTGTTGTTAGGTGTCCCTCGGGATTCATTCCTCACTTTCACATATGGTGTTCACATTCATGGATATCCCTAGGCAATATTTCATCACCCCCAAGTCTCCAGAGCTCATTGGCAGGTGGCCAGTGGGCAAAGCCTGGTGCCCAGTGGACACACTGGCCACCTGTGGAATAAAGATGGTGCCAGCTGCTTTAAAAGCAGCCGGGCGTGGGCTGCTTCCTCCTCTCGTCAGCCAAGATTGGCCAATGAAGCGGAGTTCTGGTCCATGTGCCCGACCCACCAAGAAATAGTGTTTAGAATCATTCACTTTCAGGCAACTAGTCAGCCGTCATGCTGGGAATACATACATACTTTATACATTGCTTCTCTTGAAAAAGGCCCTCCATTAAACAAGGCTGAAGGGCCAAACATTATTAATGTTTCTATGTAGTTACTCCTTTCCTCCTTGTAGCGTAAGGATCCTGACTTCTCTGGTTGCTCTTTGCCTGTCAGTGAAAAGTTCCTTTCGATTTTTAGAAAAGAGTTGGTTGTGAATGTGGAGGACACAGAGCTTTGTGGGCTGTGACTAGTGTAGGTGATGGCATGTGTTTTGGGGATAGGAAAGTAAGTTGGACAGAGAAGTGTAGCATTTACTGTGGCATGTGAAGGAAATAGTTGAAACAGAGAAAAAGGAACAAGATATGATTATTTGGTAATTCCCATGTGCCATGACTCCCAGTCAGGACCCTAATGCAGTCTCTTGCCTTTGACCCTGGACTGGCCTTATGAACTGGCTTTTGATCATTAACATGTAGTAAAATTGACACTGGATGAATTCTGTG